TGATGATGGTGTCGTGAAATGCTTGACTCAAGTGGAGGAAGAATTCTCGAAGAGGTGCTCCTGTCACTATTGGTGTCTTTTTTTTCTCTTCTCCCCATACGTTTCAATGAAATAGGAAGTGGACTTCTTGAAGGGCTTCTGCTTGCTGAACGGGACGCAATGTCTCTACGTCCAGCTGCTATTGTTGAGCGCATGTTTGGTTCACGTTGATCAGTGGCTCTCGGTTGAATTGAATTCCGTCTAATGTTACCAACAGTTGCATTAAGCGGAACGCGTGGATTATTCGTTGTGGTGTGAATCTCTTGGCTTTGACTTCTTTTCATATTTGGTGGTGATGAGGACGTGGAGCGAAGTGAAGATCGGCGTTGGGCTGAAGGTACATAGGAGAAATTTTCTTTCGCCGCATGCCAAATTGCCTGAAGCTCTTCCAGTCGAAGCTCTAATTGAGACACATCAAATTCTGCTTCACTACTCATGCTGTAAAATTAATAATAAAAATAAAAGGGAAGGGAGAAAAAGAAAAAAAATGTCATATCCAAGCAGATCTTCATACATGTATAGGTTCAACTGTTTCTCTTGATATCTTTTCTTTCCTTTCTCCACCTGTTCATATATATGTGTGTTTGTGTCTCTGTATGGCTCAGAGTAAACCATTCTTTTTTTTTTTTTTCATTCTCTCTCTCTCTTTGGTTCAGAGAATCGACAGCCAATTCTCCTCAGATATCGTTTGAGCATAAAATGCCCATCAACTTGCTCTTTACTTTTTTTTTCCTTTTCTTTTTTTTTTCTAGCAATAATACCAATACCTTTCTCTCATCCTATTCACCGATGCGTTACAGTCCTACTACGTTGCGTGCCACAGAAGAACAAAAAAGAAAAAAAAAAAGAAATAAAAAGATGTTAAACTGGGGCTTCTGGGTTGAAAAGGTAATAACGAATGGTGGGAAGTTGATCTTCAAAGCAGTGCTTCATTCTGCAGGAAAGGGTCAAATTACATATAATGTGACCATCCCGTGATTCCACAATCACACCACCCCATGCATCTTCACTGTCAAGATGATCTTGACCGAGTGTGATGGAAATCTTCTTTCCCGTCTTGGTGAGATACCACTGCTCTAGTTCATTCAGCATCCCTTGAACAGTGGTGATATCTTCTTTCCGTGTGTGAATGACAGCATCAGTTTGCACGGAAAGAAGTGCCTGGTGAATGAGGTCCACAAGGAGTTTTCGATACTTACTAGCATCATTCACGAACGCCAGTATTTTATTCTTAGTGTTCTCTCTCAATTGATCCATTATCTTTCTCCTCTCCTCCATGATGCGCAGTCGTTGGGTTTTGGAGAAGTTTGCCCGTGCCACTCTGCGGTCAATATCCACTTGTTTCTTTTTCTGCTCGGTGGTCGATCGCACTTTTATTTTCTCCGCCTCAACGAGTCGCATCTTCTCAACATCGTACTCCTCCTGCGCGGCGGCGTCGAGTTCCTCCGCCCGCTCCCGCGCCTCCCGCTCGATGAAGTCAATCATGCTCTGAATTTGGCGTGACTCACTCATTTTCGCTACTATCGTTTAGACACTTCAAGTCAAAAATGTATATATGTGACGCTGTTGCTTGTCTTTTTCGTTCCTTCTTGCTTTCGTTTTTTTTTTTCTCTCTCTTTTCTTTCAGAAAGAGAAAAAAAAATATAAAAGATGTACTCTTTTTTTCTCTCTCTTTTCTTTTTATGTTTGTTGTTGTTGTTTTGTATTATCATTAGTATAGAAGAATAATAGGCACAATACGAAAGAAAAGAAAGAAGAGGGTGGAGGAGAAACATTATTTACACTCATACCATCCCGAGAAAGGCTATATCAGGAGTTACTCCTTATATTATCTCTCACTATCCAAAAGAATAGGTAAACAACAAAAAAAAAAAAAAGATTTCAAGATCAGAGAATTGTTTTCTCTTATTTAGGTAACAACAATAATAAAAATACAAGGCGGTCAGAACTCTTCGCCTCCCTTTACAAATACTCTGCAAACCTCCCAGAGAAAAAGTAACAACAACGGGGTATTCACCGGAATGATGTGTCGACTCCAGAGCTTGAACCGCCAGTAGTGCACATTCACTAACATTGCATAGAAAGACCACCCAGTGAATGCGACAAATATGCTGGTAGAAGGAACATCGAGAAAAGGCAGTGCAGCCGCTGCTCCTGTTGCTCCTAATATGAGCAAGTAATTCTGGAACGTTGTGAACCAGCGGTATCCCTCGCCGGAGGAGAACAACACATAGAAGCACATGCACCAGCTCGCCACGCCATACACCCAAAGGAGGGTATAAACAGTGCAATGGACGAGATGTATCATCTCTCTCTCTCTCTCTCACTCCACTCCCAGCTGCAGGCAGAAAGAAAAAAGGATATTAAGAGAAGAAAAGCAATTGGGAATGGGAAGAAGGGAGGAACGAAAAGAAAAAATAAATAAATAATAATAATAAATAAATAAATAGAATGAAACAATGCAGGGAGGAAGGTCAAGTAGTGATTTAAGCAATAAATTCCCCCACAAACATCCAGAACGTCATATAAAAAAAAAAACCAAAAAAGAATAAAATAAAACTTGTCAATTTCTTACCACTTCCGATTTTTGTGAAAGTAAGAGGGTTTCACAAGCGATAAGGTCATCTTTTACGCGTGAAAGTTTCTTCTCAGCTTCTCGCAGTCTTTTCTCTCGCTGCAGAAATCCATTGGCCACTTCATTACACTTCCTACGATCCTGCTCAAGCACATCCCGCTCCACCTTCAGTTTCGCCATGTCTGCCCGCAGACCCACTCTTTCCGCAGCAACGGCCCCCTCAGCTTCTCTCACTTCATTTAATCGAGTTTTCAACTCCACCTCCATTTTCTCTAAAAATGATATTTTCTCTTCCATTTTTGCTTGTTCAATCATCATCGATGTTCGTCGTCTCTCCAACTCCTCTTCTGTTACTTTGATATTTTTCTCACGTGCTGAAAACTTCTTCTCTAGCTCCATCTCATTATCCCTCAGTGCACATGCCTTGACATCCAAAGCCTTCTCCCGTTCGCTGATCTCCTCCTCTTTCCGAGCCAAATCAACAGCAACAGAGAAAAGAGCCGCCTCAGTGGATATCTGTTTTTTCAACCATTCACTACTACACTCCTTTTCCTCCAAAGGAAGCACATTTAATTTCTCCACCATATCAGTTCCCACTCGTAATTTATTTTCAACATCCTTATCCTTGTCATTAGACATTTCAGTACCCAAGAAACTCTGACGGTTAGTAAGAAGTCGCAAAACATTCTCGCGTATTTCAACAGAATCAGTTACCGTCCCTGGTATCGCACGCAGCAAATCAAGCACAACTTTATCGTCTTCCACACCTTCTTCGTGTAAAATGATCTCCATCTCGTTTTGCATCTTTAGTCTATTAGCAGCAGCTTCTGGTGATATATTATGCCGCATTGCAAGTTGAGGAAAAGAAACTTCAGCCGTTAATGTTTCCTCAGTCGAAGGGAGGGATGGGACATCGATTCCAAAATGTTGACAGAAGTCAATCAGCTTCCAAGACCTAATCATCGTAACCTTTGATGAACACAGTTCCCCCTGTGCCAAGAGAAAAGAGAAAACGAGAGAAAGAAGAATAATACAAGGAGAAAACAGAGCGATATATGTCTGTTAAGACTCCGGTAAGAACACACAAGAGGGAAAACAAGAAAAAGAAAGAAATAAATAAAAATAGGGTAGAGAAAATGAAAAAAAAAACGAAAGAAAAGAAATACGTGAAAATAGCATCAATTATCTCTCTTTCTCTTTCGTTTTTTGTTTTTCTCTCTCCTTACTTCCCTTCGCTGGATTCCAACTCTTCGAGATACTCTCTCGCCCGCTGCAAACATCGCCTCTGCAACACACCACCACCGGTAACTTTCACACTATTAAGTTTAGATCGCAATGCCTTTTTCTGGTTCGTGTCCCCACCCCAAAACCTCTTGAGAAGTTCCAACACTTCTCTGTTTGTGTTTTCCTTCGGCAGCGATCGCGACACCTTCGGGGCGGGGTGCACCCGCACGAACGGCGCTGGCGGCGAGACATCACACATCTGCCGCCGCACGCAGTGAGTTGTGAGCGGGCGGCCGTGAAAGAGACGCACGTGCGACTTCTGCGCTGCCGGCTGTTGGGTGTTGTTGTGCGGGAGTTGGTGGTTGGCGAGGGCCGTCGCTTTCGGCAGCGCCCGGGTGGAGAGAACGTTAAGGCCGGCGAGATTCTCCACCGCACCTCCAACAACACTCGTACCATTACTATTCGTATCTGTAGTCCTACCATTACTATTATTATTATTAATAGTAGTAGTAGTAGTAGTAGTAGTAGTTCCTATAGAGGAAGGGGTGGTGTCTGCCTCGAGTTCACGTATCTCCTCCTCTAGAAACGTTCGTGAGAAACAAAAGTACTTTCTCACCACCGCCTCCCAGAAACGCTGTCTCGTCTCCTCATCCGTCACGTGCCGCTCAAATATCCTCGCCAGTATGGGAATCTGTCGAAATATATCATTTTCTAATTGTTCCGTTATCGGACGCAACTTAAACGTCTTTGGATCGACAAGTGAACCAATAGCATCAAAGGCCACCACAACACCACGCGGGAATTCTTCTTCCATGAGCAATTTCAAAGCCGCATCATCTATAAGACCAAAGTCTACGGCGGTATGGCAAATTGTGGAAGCCACCCACTGTTCATTTTCTCCAGAGTCGGTTTCAAGACGTTGGACCTTGTCAATAAAGCGTTCCCTGTCAGGAGGGTTAACAAAACGCATTATAATTGTTTTTGAACCTACAATAATCTTGGCAGACCCTTGGTCACGCCGAGAGCGCAACAGTTGAGTAATTTCAGCATATGTGAACGTCTCCACATCTGAAGTCTCTCCATCATTTAAAGGCGAGCACGAAATCACAGATCCATGCACCTCCAGGCGGCACAGAACATTGTTGCACACCACCTCCATCCTACCAAGAGAGAAAAAAAAAATGAAGAAAAAAGAAGAACAAAAACCCAATATGGATAAAAAAAAGTATTAGTTTCATGGTCACTAACCATCAGTACAATAATCCTTATTTTCTCTGTGATTTATTTTTTTTTTTTCAATGATTCAGAGTGGATCATGTAATTGCTTCTCGTCTTTTTTTTTTTCTTTTCTGTTTTGCCTTGTTTTAAAATAAGTCATACATGTATATCTATACATATATATATATATTGGGGGGAGCAAAAATCTACATATCAATCCTTTAGTCCATTCATCATCATCATCATGATCACACATACACACACACAGAACCATCACTATCTACATTGTCACATGAATGCCCTTGATATCTTTTACCCCATGCTGAATAAGAATACTTTGAATGGCAGCACTATTAGTGGGATCTAATATCAAAGAGTCGGGGAGGTAAATAGTCTCCTGCGTGTCGTCCTTATGAGTCACAGTAACACAACGACGCGGTCTTCCAGTTCTGTACGCATCGGTTTCGGGTATTGTCCAACTCCGCTCAACCAATGCCATAAAACTTTCATCATCCTCCACTGCAGGAGAAACATCCGTGTAGTACGCCACAAAGTCATCCAGCGTCACCGTATCTGTGTTGTTCTTTCCTGGCCAACAATTAATAAAATCAAAAATAGCCTCCTCATAACTCAAAATTCCCCTTTCAACATCTGGAATCTGAGTTGCGTTAAACTTAAAGAGGTTCAACATATCCACAAAATCGACAGAACCAGCACCTTCAATGGTTAATTGTTGAAAGGCCTTAATAACTGCATCAAGACGTTGGGGAGGCATATCTTCTCGCAACTCACGGAGAAACTCTTGAGCCACAATCAAACCATTTCCATCTCGATCAAATTTTTTAAAAAGTACATCTAACTCTAAGGGTTGAATAGCAACTCCCATGAGACGAACACCGTGATGAATCTTTTCACGGTTCACTAGAGTAATACGTTTCTCATTACATGCAGTACCCATGGCTTTTGATAGCGTTCGAAAACCCAATCGACCGCCTACAGCAAGAGCACCTTCTCGAATACGTGAAAGAATAAGATCCACACCCATTCCACAACTCATAGAGAATGACATTATTCCAGATCGATCTGATCGTTCTGAACGAGATTTTAATGCCGCTGACATCGCACTAGATGGCGACATAATTGTTGAACCTGCAATCATAAAAAGGTTCTCAGGATCAGTAGTTACGGCACCAAGAGACCTAGAATGATTCCCACCTGCAAAGGAGCAACTCACTTCAAACTCCGAACCAAAAGATGTTTTTTGTATCTTTTTACTGCATCGAATAGGTTGATTCGTAGGAGCGTGATAAAGAAGAAATGGTTCTCCAACACGTACAGGTGTACCATCAGAGATGTCATCACGTTTACTTCCGGGCCTAACCACCACAAATGTGTTGTCTCGACTCGCCCCAAGTGCCGCCGTTAATGATTGCTTTCCTGATGTACCAATTTCACGAATACTTGAGTGGAGATAGTAAAAACCATCCGGGTGAGCATCTTCATTAGCAATACGTACGTGTTGTCCATAGTGAAGAACATTCTCCTCCTTTAGTTGTTTTGTATACGCGAGATTATTTTCATCTGTTGCCCGGTGGATAACCCACGATGACCGTATTTGAGGCTCTTCCGTGCGGGCTGCCGTCACCAAACATTGATTGGGACGCGGTGCCCTCTCCGGTGCTGTATCCAATGCCAAAACTGCACTAGTGGCAACATTAATCAACTGCAAAGGTTCTCCTAACATAACCACATCTTTCATCATTCCAACAGATGTGGCCTCACTCAGGTGCGACGTTGTACTTCTCTGTGTCCCGTGAGAACCAGTTGTGGAGTACTTACTCTTGTAAAAAGTCACCTTATCTTCACGCACTCGCATGTCTTCATACCAGTTCCCAACCAACACTCCTGGAGAGTACGCCATAGGGTTCCTCATGCCACTCATTATTGCGCAGGAAATATAAACAAATAAATAAATACGGCTATTGTTCAGAAAGAAATTTGTGTATTTGTTTGTGTGTGAGAGTGTGAGAGTAAAACAATCCCATTTATTAAAATAAAATAAAGTAGAATTGGAAAAAAAACAAAAATCAATAGTTAACAAAAAACAAAAAACACTTATATACATTATATACGTACAAGAAACTGATCTTAGGCAGTAGCAAAGGGGAGAGAAAAAAAAGAAAGAGGGGAAAACAAACAATTGTGTAGTTGTTTTTTTTTTTTGTTTTGTTTAAAAAACACAAAGTCCTCGTTAAAAAAATTTCGTGTGAAATCGTGGACTCATCGCAGTTTCCCACAATCCACGATGGTAATTCTCTCTGATGGAAAGCCGGAAGGAGAGAGTGGTACACGCTCAATCTCCTCAACAACATCAAACCCATTTACAACACGTCCAAAACAAATACAAGTTCCATTCAGGTGCGGTGCCTCTTTCGCTGTGAGGATAAAGAACTGCGATCCATTCAAGTGCGGAGCGCTGACAGCCGTGCCAACGAGTCCACGCTTATCAAACACGGAAGAACTCACCTCATCTGGGGCATCAAATGTCTCACCATAGATAGAAAGTTGCTCAGTTCCTTTTCCGCTTACTATATCGCCTCCTTGAATCAAATACCCCTTGTGCACTCGGTGGAAGGTGGAATTCTTGTAGGTGAGTTGCGGGAGAAATTGATCGCGAAACGAAGGATCACTCAAACCAGTGGTACTAGATACAGGGGGCACAACGTTTTCACCCGTGCAGAGTTTGAGGAAGTTCTCCGCAGCAACAGGACATTTACCAGTGAATAGTTCATACTCTATCCTTTTCGGGGATCGAGAAGCAATAGCAACATCCATAAAAACACGCCCTGCCGACGCCAGGCGTATCTTGTTTAAATGAATCATTTTCTACTATTTTTAGTATTTGAGATTATGATGCACAAACCAAGACAAATGGAGAGATATTAAATATATAAATAACGGATAATACAAAAAAAAGAAGTTTTAACTTAGGATATACACGAATGAAAAACTTTTAAATAAAGAATGTATTTACCAAGACCAACAAAAAAAAAAAATAATAATAAAGGAGTAAAACATACATAAATTAGTTCCACCGTAACTTGTTCTATATGTATCTTCTATGTATATCATCTATGGAGTTGCTTTTTTTTTTTTTCATTGTATTGATCCTCATATTCATTTTCTATTTTATTTGGTTGTTGTTGTTGTTTTTTTTATCTTTGTATTCTATGAAACTTCTAGAGAAACCTTCTGAAGTTGGTCAAGATTCACCTGACCGTGTACAAGACTATTTGCGATATCCTCATTGGCTACATGCCACGTCCAGCCTGGTTCCATGGAGACTTCTCTCCAGTTATCCCATTCGTAATAAGTCCCGCATACAAAAGCATTTTCAGGTGATAATGTTTTGAATCTTGCAGGTTTCAACTTTGCAAGTTCATCTATGGTATGTGCATAGAGTGTTGCCGGAGCACCATCCAGGCACCATCCAATTAAATGATTTTTATGTACTACTATAGGCGAACTTCCTCTCATGTCCCCTGTTGTCTGAAATGGAAGAGACTGTAAATGACGTACAATACGATCTACCTTTGAGTGGGTCGAAGCAATGCCCTGCGGTAGACAATCCAGTACAGTGGAGCGAGGGCTCACTACAACTCCCAACACACTATCACGCCGGTGAATAAGCCAAACAGCACGACGTACATTACTTGATGGAATTGAAAGAAGAAGATTTGGCAAAGGAGCTCGTGAGTCTATTGGCTTCATAATGGTACTGGCTCTCTGCAGAGGAGAGACTCCTCTAATCCAGGGCTTATGTAAATCACCCAAATTCAAGACAGCTTTATACGCCCACGGTAAGCCGCATCTCTCCATACTGAGTGTAATCTACCTCTCCAGTTTTTTAAGTATTAGATTGGTGTACAATACACCAGTAATAATAAGAAGAAAAATAAGAAAAGGAGAAAAAAATACCAGAAAATATATATTTATATATTAAATGAGGGGTTAACAAAAAAATAAATGACTTGTTGTTCTTTTTTTTTTTCCCACAGAATAGTAATCCCATCATACACACATACACTTTCTCTTTCTTTCTCTTTTTTTTTTTTGTAGACTAGTCTCACTGAGCACTACCAAATGGGTTTAGGGAGGCGAATACATTACTATCTTGTTCGTCCCTTTTTCCTTTTATCTCTGTCGTTGGCTGTGCAGCTGCAGTTGGGTTTTCCCACATAGCAGTGGGAACTGTTTGAAAAAAGTTTGTGTTATTCGTAGTAGGTGGTGGCACACCACCTACAAAAGACTGTTGATCATGAACACCCGGTCCCTTGTTAAAAACAGATGGGGCTGTGGGAACAGCCATAGGGTGAACAAATTGCTGCTGTTGTTGTTGTTGTTGTTGATAAAAATATTGCTGCTGCTGCTGCTGCTGCTGTAGAGGTTGTGGTTGTACTGGTGGTTGATTAGGGTAAACAACACCTGGCATATAGCCATATCCCCCCTGGTTCATACCCATATAATTTTGCATACCAGGTTGAGTTGGCATCATCATCGTTGGATATGGATTCGTCCCGGGAGGATACATTTGTGGAGCTGACGGCACAGTGTACATTACATTCGTTCCTGGTGGTGCAGCCGGGTACATTACATTATTCTGTACTTGTGTGGGTGGAGCAGAGGCGAACAAATCCGCCACTGTCTCTTGAGCACTGGGAACTGGTTGAGTGGAACTAGTAGGAGGTGCCGCAGCCGTGAAAAAATCACCAAATAAATCATCATTTGCGTTATCATTGGATGTATTGAGGGTAGTATGTTGTGGCTCTTGTGGTGTAGTAGATTGGGTAAAGAAATCTATCTGTGAATCTGGCACAGAATGAACATCTTGTTTTTTCAAACTTGGAGACTCTGGTGTTTGCGTTTGTCTTTTTGTTGGTGTCTTTTTTGGTGTCTCTCCCACTCGTATGGACGACTGTGGCGGTGTTGCTGTTGCCTTCTCTTGTTGAGAGACCGACCGCTGTGGTGGCGGCAGTGTTGTGTGGGATGGGAGATCCGAATTGGTGTTTATTGCTGTTTTGAGTTCACTCTGAAATTGAGCCAACTCCTCTCGGTTCAAATACGCCCGGTCATCAAAGACGTTAATGATGAAATCCTTGATTGCCGCCACGTTGCCGCTGGGCGGTTTATTCCGCTTGTAGTTGTGCAGCCAAATCTTCGCGGCTCTGTCGTTGCCGCCGAGGCGCAGGCCGATCACCTCCCCGTCGGTGAACTCCGTCATGGAGATGCCCTTCACTTTGTGCTGCAGCGAGCGGTGGAGGGCAGCGCAGGTGGTGCAGACAAAAATGCGGAAGTTGATAACGACATACAGTGGACCTCGCATCCCACAGTCCATGCAGAACCGGTTCCCACCATTTAGCGATAGTTTCCGCACTTCTTCCCTATTTCGCTCCAGCTTTCGTGCATGTAGATTCATTGCGTAGCCTGAGCCTCTTCCTGAAAGAAATAAGAAAAAAGAAAAAATGGAAAAAAAAAATGATGTGGAACACATAAAAAAAAATATATATATATAAGAGCAATAAGGATACAATAACAAAGAAGAACAAGAAGAAAAAAAAAAAAAAAAACATAAATAAACAAAGGGATATTGATTAACGTATCAATCCCAGTTAATGGAATGCAGAAGAATCATCCAAAAAAACGGATTATGACGTTATTCTGTTCCTCACTCCCCCACCAAAAAAAAAAAAAAAATCCCCTTAAAATATATTTTTAAGATGGGACATACTACTATTTCTCTATTCATGAGTGGATTTCCTTAGAAAGCTAAAAAGCCTCCGAATACGGCTAGAAAGATAGAAACCCGCCATAGATCCAGCGAGCAAGCATGGTGCCCCAATCGCTACAATGGTAGCCGTTAAATAAGGTGTATTCTTGTTTAACTGTGCGTCTTGACACGCAAGCCCTCTTGAGGGATCCGCAATAGCCCCGCCTATGGGTCCACACTGTGCTCCAGGGCACTCGGAACGATAAAAGTAACAGAGAGAGTCTGCAGCGGGGGCGTCTTCACTGTCACAATCAGCGCTTGTGAGAGCCGAGTCGGTAACATAACACTTTCCTTCCAATCCCCCCTGGGATTCAATGTAACGGAGTACATCTTCCACAGAACAGCCATCAGGATTTGTATCAGAAAAGTAAATATTTCCCTGTTTATCTGTACAACTTATTGAGAGTAAATTAGCCGTATAATTATTACCTGTAGCACCTTCCTTAACATCACCGTTATCGGAAGAGTACTTGAATAGATAAGCTTTTATGTATTGCTGGGTTGCGGTAGTACTGTATTCAAATGCAATGGCATCAGCAAAACCTGGCATATGAATAGAACTCTCTTCTAAGGAGTTAGTAGCGTTAAAAACACCTAAATTACAGAGAGTCGCAAATACAACAGACATTGGGGCAACATTAACCGTAAACTTTATCATAGATGTTGTGGAAACAAATTCTTTCATAATATCACGAATTAACGGACCTGCCAAAGGCCCTATGTTTTCATCCACCTCATTACCGGGATTTACACCGTAGAGACGCCACGCAAATCGTTTACTGACACTCTCCAATGCTCCCAAGAGAGGCTGCAGCGTTGGATCCTTAACATCTTCAGAAGCATTAACACAGTAACTATCATAGACATAAAGAGCACATAATGAGGGGGATTCCATACACATTCCGCCGTGATTTGGTGGGAGAAATTGAGAAAGTGTAGTGATGTTTCTTTCACCAATCATATTTATCGCCCATGCATCATCTGCGTGAAGTTTCTCTTTCCACACATCCCGCAAAAGCCAAGAAGGCCAACTCTTTGTGAATCCCAAAAGCTCATCATGAGATTCAGGCTTGTATTTCACCAACGGAAAGGCGTTTGGATACATTCCCATTGTAATGGCCTCACTTGTGATGATAGTCCTTTCTGTTCCTGTTGCATGAAAACCCACAAGTGTAGCATTAAAACGATCTCCAAGGTCTAGTGGATTTGTATAGCGAGAGAGAAGAAATTGACCAAGTTGAACAGACATCTGCTTTCCGGCGGTGGATAACGTGCATCCATCACATGTCAAACTTGTATCTGTGAGGTTTATTAGACCACGTGCACCATTTCGAGCCACCAAAGTGACTTTCTGCAGTGTTGGAGACTCCGCAGCCACTGTGTAGGAAAACACCGCTTCTGGTAGTAGTAGTTGTATGAATATGATGAGTGGTACTAGCAGTACTAAGGGTAGTGGTTGTTTTCTTAAGAAGAACATGTTTAAGTGAGCTGACGATAATTCTAGATCAATAAGTTTTTTTTTTTTTTTTTAGCGATTCTTACTGTGACTGGAGTAAGGAGAAGAAAGCAAAATAATAATAAAATACCAGAATAATATTGATCAAAATAAGACTTTTGTTTTACTGAAGAATAAAGAAAAAAAGAAAAAAAGAATGAATGAGCACAAGAAAAAAAAAAAATTAGAATATATATATATATATATATATATTATATTATATGCGTAATAGGAGAAAAGGAAAAGTAAAAAAAAAAAAAAAACACAAAAAGTCTAATGTACTAAATACGTTTGCAGTAGAGATACTTTAAACAACCCACGTCCCCCCAAAACAATATAGTCTTCTACATTGTAGGAGTTTCTCCCTGAAGAAATGGACGTGCGCTCATTTCCCATTTTTCAGGTGGCAACACACTCCAGTGTGGACTGGGAGTTTTTTTAAGCCATTGAAAGTCATCGACTGTTTTGTATGAATCCTTTACACGTTCCTGCATTTCCTGTTCTCCTACATGTTGTACCCACTCTTCATGGGTTGAGTAATGGTGCCCACCCACAGATGACTGTAAGAGTCCTGTCCAACAACTATATGGACCAAACCGCATCTCTGTACAACATTCAATGATTGGCGTTGAGGCACACCAAACATATATATCTACAGATGTACAGTTCTTTAGTCGGAGTTGATGGCACGCCACGTAGATTTTACAATTTGAGCAGTCAGAAATAAAAACTGATCCGGCAACAGGGAGGATAAATATTTCACATTTTTCACATCCTTGTAAAAATACGGCCTTTGGTTCACTTATGAAAACTTCTCTCTCACGAGCATAACCATAGACATTGTTTACTTGACTTCGATCCTCTTCACTCTGTTGCAATGATGATGATAATGGCGATGATGCCGCTGCTGGTTGTTGTTTCTCCACAACGGCAGTAACACCAGTTTTTGGTTTACGAGAAAACTTAAATCCCTTCGGTTTATTACAAGTGTCACGTTTTTCATCAATAAGTCCCTGAAGTCGCGACAGCGTTGCGTTAGACTTGGCCATTTCATACGCCGTGAGGACGTTATTACTGGTAGCATCCTGAACAATGAGTTTAAACATATTAATGGTTTCCTGCGCAGCGGAGGTATTCCCGTCGGTGATGAGTTGCATGATACTCCGCTCGTAACTTCTGGCCTGATCTTCAAACTGCAGTCGGTCCCACGCCGTGCCGGAGGACCCCGCGGACTTCTGCTGCCGCGCCTCCTCCCGCTCCGCACGCGTCTTTAGGAACCGTTCCTCCATAAACCCTTTTATCATTATATATATATATATATATAATAATGGAGAGAGAAATAAGAAGAAAGAAAAGATGGTTGGAAAGCCGAAGGGCCTCAGAGAAACTCCCTGAGAAAATAATAATAATAATAATAATAATAATAAAAATAAGAATAAATGAAAAGAGGAAAAATATTAGTTAAAGAGTTTTTTTTTTTTTCGGTTATTCATGCTTCCCGCACTCATGGCGGAAAGAAGAAACAGAAACGAAAAAAAAAAAAAACACCCAAAAGGAATTTAATCCGCATCATTCCGCAAGTACTGAAGGAAAATATTCCTTAGAACGTTACTGTCAAGTCGCTTACCAAGTATAAGTGCTCGTGAACACCCCAACGGAACACTTTGTCCCTCCATCGGTGTCACATCGAACAGTTCTCCAATCGTTTGAAGCTGCATGAGAGAAAACTCTCCCTTCTTCTTTTTATCATTATTATCACTACTACTATCATTTTTCACCCATATTGCCGCCTTGCAGCGCACCACCTCAAAGGGTGGATGATGCTCTTTATATAAGAGATCTCTGCAGAGCATATCAAAATCACGGAGATCGCGGAGAGCTAAATAGTTTGGATGCTCAAAAAACTCCAATGAGACGGCGGAGATGGTAGAAGGACCATCGCGGTGGAGATGCTCAAGTTCCAGTGCTTGTCGCGTTGTATTCAAAAAGAGAATCTCCCGCAGATTATCCAATCGTGAATACGATGAGTGCATGACTTGCACCACTGGATTAATTTCTCGCACCGCCGCAAGCGCCTCTCGCTGCTCCTCCTCTGTTGCGATATCACACTTGTTTAACACAATACGGTCCGCCATGAGGATCTGTCGAGTGGCTTCTCCAGAGACCTCCGGATCCTGCAAGTATTTGCAGATATTCTTCGCATCCACCAGCGTGAGAATACCAGAAAGATAGAGAGTACCGCAGACGGCCTCATCCTGCCAGAACATCGCAGCCACAGGAGCGGGATCCGCCAGACCGGAAGTCTCCACAAGCACCAAATCAAAAGTTCCTTTTTTCATCATAAGCGTCTCTAATGCCTGTACGGTTTGAGTTTGGGCTGTACAACACATACAGCCGTTATTTAACTCTAACCACTCATCATCAGGTTTCTGTGAACTCTTAAGCGTTAATCCTTTTTCAATTGTTTTACCAAATTCAAACTCATTCACAATAACCGCAATGCGAAGATTGTGCTCGGCTGAAAGTACATAATGGAGCAGCGTTGTTTTTCCACTACCCAGAAAACCTGTTAATATTGTCACCGGCACTTTGGCGCTAATAAGCTCTGGACATTCATCGTCACTCATTATCCTTCCTGCTATTCCCATTACAGGAAAACAGAGAGAGAGAGAGAGAAAGCAATACAAAGATAATAATAATAATAATAATAATAATAATAATAATAATAATAATATTCAGAAACCCTATACTGAGGTAAATAATTGTTTCTTGCAAAGATAGCAACTCAATGTTGGCTGCACAGAGTCCAAAGACAGAGATTTGTTTTGCCACAATAATCTTGTCTTGTATATTGATTACATTTGCCTCAAAAATAGGGTCCGAACAGCCAACAACAGAAAACAGGCACACATATCCCTCTCTTCTCTCTGTGGGGATAGAAAGAAAGAGAGTAAAACAAGACAAAAAAAAAAAACGGCAACACTGGTATTCCAATAAAAACAAAAGCAAAAAAGAAGGGAGGTGTGAACTATCAGCATAAGTATAATATACACCTTGCATGGAGGAGAAGCCAATGAGAAAACGTTACCCAGAAGTGCTTACTAGTGCGATGTATGTACACACACACATATATATATATATATATAAACAAAAAAAGGGGGAAAAAAACAGCCATCTGTATTTTTTTACTTTTTTTCTTCCTCTTCTTCTTCTACCTGCTTTCCCAATCGCTTCAGGAGTGCGGCGTATGCAGCTTCCAAGTCAAACTTTTCCACTTCCGGTCTTCGCCGCCCCGTCCCCAATCGCGGTGTGTCCGTTCTTGACAACATCCCCGTAGACACACTCACATCCGTTGCCGTCAGGGACGCCACACTAGATAGATAGTCCGAATCGCGCAGACTAGGCGGCACCGGCATTGTTGTGATGTGTGGTTTGGGCGCTGGTGTGTACGGCGTCACCTGCGGCATGCCGAGAGCGGCGAGTTGTTCAATGTGTTTACATGTCTCGTAATACGCCACTGGGACACCCGGGGGGAATGTTTGTTGAGACTTTGATTTGTTGACGTACATGTTTTTGTTGTTGTATCCCCCACCCTCTCCGACTGAACAGGCAAAGAGGGTCCATGAATGTGTAAATAAAAAAAGAAAACAAATAGAAAAGAAAAAAGAAAAGGAAAGAAGATGTTGCGTAAAGATGTTTTTTTTTTTTTTTCTGATGATAGCAAAAAATAGAAAAAAAATAATATAATAATAATAATAAAGAGGAGCTCCAACAGCATCTTAAGTCTGGAATATTTTACAAACACAAAGAAAAACTCAGAATGTTCTCATGCACACCTGCACAAATGTGTACTTTAAAAATAAAAATAAAAAGATATATATATATATATATATATATATATCAGGAGATACTATCACCCACTACAGAAATCAATAGTTTCCGCAGGGCAATATTGCCCAGAGGTCCCGCACTCTCACTACAAAAAGATGGTATGTGTCGGAAATAGAATCTCTCTCTCCCCCTCAACGTGACGAGGAGCATCAAGCAAAATGCGTGGAAGGAAATCACAAAGGTCCTGATCTCGTCCGTATATCCTTGAAATAGAAGAGGATGTACCACATACACGCACCGGATTAGTTTGCTCCAGCGAAGGGGAACTGCGCCGCTGGTTATGACAATACTGAATCGCCGGATATAAATCCGCATCACCACATAAGAGAACTACCTGTTGAAACTGTTGATAGAGAAAGGTTTCAATAATGCAAGTTGCCATAGCAACATCCACACCTGTTTGAACCCACACATACCGTTGTCCATCACGGGTGTATCCTTTTTGTTTTTTCATTCTTCCAACGAGACGGGCCACAACATTGCTTAATTGACGCGTTCCATTCATCTCATCCAGTAGAAACCGTTTGCGAAGATGACTTTCACGAAAGGCTTTTTCTCTGTGAGGCAGAGGCATAGAATTCTCAATATACTCCGTGAAGGCCGCCGGGTCGGTATCAAACCAATACGCGACTGGTTCCTTTTGAAATACTTCACCAAGAAAATCCAATGTGCTGCGTAAAACTTCCACTGTACGTTTGTATTGTGCCTCATCCCGGCGTTCATGGCCTTTCAAAACACGTTCAAAGTATCCTCCATCAATAATAACCGCCACTCGACCATCACGTTTAATACCACTCGGTACAAACATCACTACAGTCTCTTCCACTTGAGCAGTTGCCGGAGTTGCATCTGATCCTGCCTCCCGTTCAGCATCACTACCATTTGAGGAAGTCTCTTCTGCGGAGCTTCCATCCATGCGATTTTCCGCCACTGCAGACGATCTGTGTTTACACTCGGTTGTGAGGTGCTGACCACTGCAGGTGTCGCAGCGTAGTTTTGAGCATGAACTGGCCATATGGCCCTTCTCATGGCACCGACTGCATAATGCCTCTGGACACTGTGCGAGGAGATGACCGGTCTGATTGCACATATGACAGACTGCTGTTTGTCTGCAGTCGGCCATCTCGTGCCCGGGCTCTTTGCAGCGATAACAAACTCTTCCCTTTGGTTTCATTGGACAGTCCGTTGATCGATGCCCCGCTAGTGAGCAGTGAAAGCAAAGTGGTCTACTGTGGCAGAGCTGAGAGCTGTGACCGTAACTACCGCAATTAAAACAACGCGTTTGTGGACATGTAGGCATCATGTGCCCACGCTGATGACACTGGAAACACTCTATAGATTGAAAACGGAGTGGACAACTTGCCTGTATATGCCTTGACGACCCGCAGCTTCGACAAACAGAAACTACAGTTTCTTCTTCAGCCCGTGCACGTTTCTTTTCGTTTGGGCAATCTTCCTTGAAGTGTCCCAGATTTCCACAAGAAATACACTTTATCATCGGACAGTCACGACGAAGATGATCCGGGGCAGAACAAACACTGCAGACGATACGATTTGAATCTTTCATAGCGGCACTTTCCCTCTCTCTCTCTCTTTCTTTCTTTGTTTGTTCTTTTTTTTTTTTTTACTTTCTCCCTTTTCTTCTCTTCGTTTATTACTTTTTTTTTCTTTGTTTTTTTCGTGCCACCGAAACTTGCTTATTTTTTTTTCGGAATCCAGAAAAAAAAATACAGATAAAGAGATAGAGAAAATGCAACAAGGGAGTAAAACCGAAAAGCCCATCTAGAGTTCTCACAATAATAATAATAATAATAATAATAATAATAATAATAATAATAATAATAATAATAACAGGAAAGATAATATATTCTTCATAGTGTAAATACTCAAACACCAGGAATCAATAAATGCAGAAAAAAAAAAAAACCACTTACTCAATATGCGAGTATCTCTGTGAGGTCTTTAATTATTCATCAATCCACTGAAAGAAGGAACACTTTCTGCTCCCACACGTAAGAAACTTTTTACCCCTCGATGCCTCTTTACCAGATACGAGTTGTTTCGCTGGGACTCCACAGGCGCAGAGTGTACCTGATGTATTTCCCCCCGCGTTGTTGTTCCTTCGCCCAGTTGTCTTCGCCCGACTCACGGACGGCAATGTGTATGGTGTTCGCTCCTCCCCACGCTGTTGGGATGGAGGGAGTCGTGATGGTTGCTGTGCTGGTGGACCCGCTGCTGCTGCGGCGGTGGGATGAAGACTTCGCCCAGCGGCGCCGCCCCGCACGGTGATGTATTCCTGCAGGCGGGCATCGCAGAAAACACAGACAGTTTCTCCCTCTTCCACTCCAGGGACATTCTGCACCTCCACAAACTCAAACTGAAGCATGACAGACTGACAAGATGGACAACGTAGTGTGGGAACAGGACGAATTCGTCTAGCACGTGGAAGTGTAATGGAATATGTGCAATTCGGAAATCCACGACAACCTAAAAAGGCCCCATTCGTAGTTGTACGTAAACGAATATCATTATCCATACAAGATTTGCATTTCGTTATGGGAATATTTTCAAGACCTTTTGCTAATGGACAATCGGCAATGCATTGAAAACAGCGGAATTCTGAAAAAGACTCAATATCAACAGTAGGAGGTGGTGATGTAAAGCAGTGTGGACAAACTGTATAAGATGTTTGTTTCTCCGTATTCTTCACATTAAGAACACCAAAACCACAAAGAACGCATCGCTGATCATGAGGAATGAGTTGGTTAAGCCTACCATTAGGAATACGATGTTCACTGGTACATGTGGTACACCGTGTAAACCATACTTCTCGATCTCCTTCAATAAGTTCCACCAAATCCATCATATTCCCACATACTCCACATCGCACTAAACCTTGTTGCACTACACGACCAGCTCCATAGTTATTAGTTGAAGAACTTGAAGCATTTGCTGGAGAGAGATGATAACACAACTCATTATACATATCTTGAGTGTTGGAAGATAATTTCTGAAATATTTCACGATAGAGATGTACAGTGGCATCTACAACTTGATCCTTTGTGGCTTTACCACTAGCAATATCAGCCATGGCAAGTTCCATTTGTGCACGAAGTTGTGGTTGAAGAAGACTAAGGAGACCAATTACCTCATATGCTGAGGCAAGTGCAATACCTAATGGTGTTGGGATTAATGTAGAACCTTCACGTTTCACATATTCTCTATCAAGTACGGTTTTAATGTGTTGTGCAATAGTAGCATCTGTTCCAATACCATGTTCATCCATGAGTGCAATAAGGTTTGCTTCTGTAAGATTAGGTGGAGCTGCTGTTCGATGTTTCTCAAGATTTACCTCTGTAGGAATAAAACGTTCACCTTGTTTGTATACCGGCAAACAAGTACTGTGCCATCGTTCATATGGGTAAACCTCCAACCAACCCCGCTCAAGAATCATTGTACCAGATGTAGTGAACTTCTCACCCCCGAAAAGTACAGTGACAGTTGTGGTAGCCGCCACAGCATCTGGTGAGATACATGCTAAGAAATGACGAACAATCAAGTTATATAATCCACTTCTTTCATCACTACCAACTCGCATTAGTTTAGTTGGATAAATAGGAGGATGGGCCTTATCATCATGTCCTCCCTTAAGAGGACGACGAAACTTCTGTGCCCGGTTATTTACCATCGCCCCCACGTAATCGGAGACTTCTGGATTTCCTTGTTGAATGGTGGCAATATCTATGAGTTCATCATCTGTAAAGGAAAAAGAATCCGTCTCAGTACGTGGATAAGAAATATAACCCTCCTGATATAACGACTCTGCCCATGTCATACACTTTTCAGATGAAATGCGTAGATGTGTGGCGGCTAATTTCTGTAGTTTTACGGTTGCGAGTGGAACCGGCGGTTGTCTCTTGTTGGGCCGTTGATTGACATCCACCACCTGCGCCTCTGGTGCGGCGGCGGCCTTTTCCAACATCGCATCCAACACCAAAGTGGCGGCTATTTGATCAAAGACAGCACCGCGGCAGCTCTGGAAGACGGTCTGTTCATGCCGCATAAAGAGTGTAAAGTAATCCTCCGGCACGAATCCCTTCTGTTCCCAGTGACGGCGAACGAGAAAACCAAGTGTTGGGATCTGACAGGTGCCGAAACTCAACACTCGCGGCATCCCACTAAAGGAATCACGAAATTTTATGGTTTGAAATCGAGAGAAAACGGCACCGATGCGTAAATCAATTTCTTGTCGTGCCTCCACAGCATCTGAGAGAGCTTTGTTTGGTGCCTTGAGGTTTCGCATAGCCCCAAATAAATCTCGCTTTGTTAACGCAGAAAAATGTGCCCGAGAAATAGCAATTCTGTTATTAACTCCCTGAACGATACGCATTACTTCAAAACAAATATTTTCTCCTTCACGATCGCAATCCATCCATAGAAGGAGAGTTGTAGCACGTCTACCAAGTGATTCTAAATTTTTCTTTATTGGTTCTAGTTCCGGTTTCACATGTTTTGTTATGTTTGCTGTAAAGAGCCCAAGAAGCGGGTAGCCTGACCAATTCTTTGTCTGTGGTGGGAACTCGTCATTCATCAAATGTCCAGCAACGGAGGTGAAAAGCATCTCTTTCCCCTCAAACTCAAACTCAAAGACTGGGTTAAAGCGGGAAAGAGTCTTCACACTTCTACAGGAGCCATTGGAGAGTACGAACGCCACCTCCTTCGCCACGCTTGGCTTCTCGGCGACGTTCAGCCAGACAGGCATTTGCCTCGTCCTTCTCTCGTTTGCTCTGCAAGATGCATAAAAAAAATATGTATATGTATATATATCCGTACAAATAAAAAAGAAAGGAAAATAGAAAGAAAAAAGAAAATCAAGTGGTAGTTAAAGAAAAAGAAGCGAAAGGAGAAGGTATTTAAAAAGTAATAATATTTGTAGAGAAGTTTCCAAAAATAAAAAAGCGGGTGGAGGGAGGGGAATGCTGAGTATGTAAAGAAAGTAGAAAGAATGAGAATGGGTAAAAAAAAAAGTCAGGCAGCAGTCAATAGAAGCATCAGTGTACCAGTGGGAATGGTGACGTCACCAGTCAGTAGCGAAGGTACTAAGAGAAATAATAGTCACGGCAGATGAGTTCTCTGTGTGTATTCACAACACAGCCTTTTTTTTTTTTAATTCGTTCTCCCATCTGTGTCAAATAACTTTGTGTACAACAAAGACTCTCTTTCTCCCTCTCTCTATTTTTTTTTTTTCCTTTCTCTCCGGTATAGGTTTACAAAGGTTTCACACAACGTTGTTTCGGTTCTTTTCTTTTTTTTTTCTTTACTTCTCCTTGCCTTTCACTCGCACAAGCATTGGCTAGTTGCCTGTTTTGCTCTGATTTCTTATTTCTTCCTCCGTCGTGATGTCTTCTTTGTTGTTTTTTTTTTTGTTTTTTGGTTTGTTTTATTTTCCCTCTCATGGGTGTCATTCCTTCCCCATTCGATGAGCAAAGGGTTGGTGTACAAGGGAGCGTCCAGATGAATACATGTCTGCACAGAAAAAGAAAAAAGAACACAAAAGTCCAAGCATGTATGAGAGTAAAATAATAAAGGAAAGAGAAAAAAAAGGAGAAAAAGAGAGAAAAACAGTGCACAAGAATGTACGGTTCGTTCTTTTTTAAAAAACAAAAACGTCATATATTCTTATGGTTTCCATATACACTAATTTTCTACTCTTCTTTCTACTCTTCTTTGTTCTACTTTTCGTTTGCATTTGTTTTTTTTTTTTTTTTTTTTTTTATGACGCTGTTGCTACTTCTTGTCATCTTTGCGGTGGTTCTCTTCATTTTTCCCCCTCATTCATTTATTTACTTTGTACTATGTTTTTTTTTTCTTTTTTCCCATCATCTCAAACACAGGCCCATATATAAATATATATATAAACATATATACTCCTCTTGCACAGCTTGGATTCCTTGAGCCAGATGTTTATTGTCTTCCATGACATATCCCTCTTTTCTTCTCTCTCTCTCCCTTGTTCTTATATACCTCGTCAGTATCAAGTCTAGTCTCCCTCGCTATTATTCCTCTCTCTCTCTCTCTCTCTCCCCCTCTCTTTCTCTCCCACACTCCCACCCACACCCACTGATGCGCCTTCTTCTGCTTTTTTTTTTTGTTTTTGTTCTACTATTACTACTTCTGCTGTTGCTGCACGGCTGCTCAGTTTGCCGGCTGCTCATCGGTCCAGAGATTAAGATTATCGCGCAGCAGCCGCACAATGAGATTGGACTCACGGTAGGCCTCGTCGTCAAGTGTCTCAAGTTCCGTGACGGCCTCATCGTACGCCTGGCGGGCGAGTTGGAATCCCTTCTCGTGCTCCTTCATAATCTCATAATAAAATACCGAGAAGTTCAGCGCGAGGCCGAGGCGGATGGGGTGTGTTGGCGCCAGTGACGAGTTCGCCACTTCCGTGGCCTTTGCGTAGGCGTCGAGTGCGGCCTGTCGCTGGCCCGCCTCGTGCTGGGCGATCTCTGCGTAGTAGCGGTGGTAGTCGCCCTTCATCTTGAGATAAAAGACCTTCGTCTCGCCGCCCTGCGCTGCGGGGATGAGATACGTGTCGAGCAGCGCCAGCAGATCATCGCAGATCGCCGCGAGCTCCGACTCAAACTCCCGCCGCAGCGTGGCGATAAGGGCGAGATTGTCACTCTTCTCCTTCGCACTCTCGCGGCTTTCAATGGAGGTGATGATGCGCCAGGCATTGCGGCGGCTGCCAATCACGTTCTTGTACGCCATGGAGAGAAGATTGCGCTCCTCCGTGTCGAGCTCGCTGTTGAGCTTCACCAGCTTACGCATACACAACACCATCTCATCATAACGCTCTGCCTCCTCTGTTAGCTTCGCCATAAACACGAGCTCCTTCACACTGTCGGGGAGTTTAAACTCCGATGGACTTTTCTTTGGGACAAGCTCGTCCTGAATAGCTGCATTGTGCCACTTGATTGTCTCAGCCATTATTCTTTTTTTCTTTCTTGAATAGTTGGTTGGTTTCTTTTTTCTACCTTTCGGTTTTTCTTTTCGCTTCTTTTCTTTGCTTTACTTTCCCGTCTGGGGTCGCTCTGTTGGTCTACGTGTTCTTTCGACTCTGCAAGTTCACGTGTTCCTCCTTTCCTTCTATTTCTTTTTCTCGGATTACCTCCCTTTTTTTCCCTTTTCTTTCTTCCAAGTCTAAGGATTTCTCTCTCTTTTTTTGCCCTAAACCCCTTTTTTTTTTCTTTCCTTGTCTTTTTTTTTTTTTCTTTCGCTTCCCTGATGTTGAAAGGTATGTTGCTTTTTTAGTGTTGTTTTTGTTTTCTTTTTGCTGATAACTACAAGGTCAAGGCGAAAAGGTGTAAAAAAGAAAAAAAATGAAGAAGATGAAAATGAAGAAAGAAACAATAGCTGAGGAATCACAGTTTACGCAAGTTAACAAAAACCATAGAAAGGTAAAAGATGGAAAGAAACAGAGAATGTTGTTGAACAGATGAAAAAAAAGGTAATCGTCCATGTTCATTCGCAGGAAGGAGAACAAACAAATGAACATAAGAAATCTTATTTAAAAAAAAAACACAAATGAAACGAACTTCACACGTTGACACCCAAACAATCCATTCATTCCATTATTTAGCTATTGGACAACATGCGGTATACTAGTTGAGCTTGCCCCTTCTCTTCGTTCCCTATCCCCAACTATTCTTGTTGTTGTCATTATTCTCGGTACTTTGCTTGCCTTCCCTCTCTCTCTTTATCTCTCAATCCATATATATATATATAATCTCTCTCTCTTCTTCCCTCTATGTGGGGTGAATGGGTGTGTTTGTCTACGTTTTAATTATCCAAAATATTATTTGCAGTGCCCACAAATTAAAACCACATCTCATTCTACCTCTTTTTCCCAACACACAACATACACACCTGTAGTCCACAAGAAAAAGAGCTCAGTGGCTCAATATAACTGAGAAAAAAAAGAGAAAAACAAAAACAATGAACGCATACAAACACACACAGAGACACGCACTCAAACATGAAGAAAAGTGCATCATGCAAAATCACTCAATATGTGAGTAGCAAGCAAACAATAGAATCCAAGAATTTTGTCAGGCATATTACCGATGACCAGTACCGAAGAGAAAAAATGAAAAAAAAAGAGAAAAACAAAAAAAAAAAAAGATAAAATGGTGTTACACACCACGTTAGGAATATTATTTTGACTCTCTGCCATTTCAATACAATTTTTATTTTTCCTTGCTGCTCCTGTTGCTCTCTCTATCTCTCTCTCCCACTCACCGTTCATTATTATGCCTTTTTGTTTTGTTTTGTTTTTATTTTTTTCTTTACCTCTCTGGATTCTCTTCTTTATTTCTTTCTCTCTTATTTCAGTTTCGGGAGGTACTTATCTTCTGCCTTAAGATATTCATCCAGTCGCTGCAGTCGAAAGACCTCCTTCACGGGTGCCACATTCGCCTCCACTGGGAGAATTGATTCCTGAGTGTAAATAGCCCGCGATGTTGCCTGCATGGCAGCTATAGATGCCCGCAAATTGTGATTTGCCCAAATAACACTACTAATACCAATTTCACGAAAGTGTGAACATGGCACAGTGGCGTAGTTTGTAGGGACAATGACTACAGGCACCCGACTGCTATCACTGCTCTTATTCCAGTGGGTCATGAAGGCGTCAATTTCAGAAGCATCCTTCCGCTTACTGTGGATAAGAACAGCATCCGCTCCCGCCTCTGCATATGCCGTCGCCCGGCGCAGGGCCTCTTCCAGCGGCCAACCGGCAATAAAGGACTCTACACGCGCAACAACGCAAAAGTTATCATCCGTCTGTGTGTCTTTCATGGCACGTATCTTAAGTTTAAACTCGTCCACATCTGCAAGAGGTTGTGGTCGGCCCTTATCCAACAAACTATTCGTCTTGGGAAATAGCTTGTCCTCTACACAGGCTCCTGCCACGCCAATCTGCTCCAGCTTGCGCACCAACAGTCTGGCATTGTTGAAGTTGCCGTACCCCGTATCCGCGTCAAGGAGAATGGGAATATCTGTGGCATCACTCATACATTCCGCTACACCACACACCTGTGTCCAACTAGCCTCGTTGTTATCACGGAATCCCATCTGAGCCGATATTGAGAGACCGGAAGCCCAGATGGCTTTAAAGCCACTTTCCTCCACAATACGTGCAGAAAGGCCGTTATGTGCCTCCATTAGGAAGCTCAAATCCTTCGAGCGCAGCAGCTCTCGCAAAAGCCGCGTCTTCTGAGGAAGACCACTACAGTGTCGCATTCAAAAAAAATTGTGAATCTTCCTGTTATTAGTGGATATATTGATCAGTATTGCTGCCGTCACCCACTCCGAAGTCAGATGCTCCTTTTTCCTTTCTTTTTTTCTTCTGCTCCAGTTTTCGCCTTTGCGAGAGAGTTCTCTGTTGGGGAAATGAAAAACAATAATAAGAAAAAAAAAAGCATATTAACAACAAAAAAAAAAGAAATATAGCTTGAATAATAAAAACTCAGAACTATAGTAAACTTTTACCAGTAATCCATCAAGAAATCAAATCACTCCTCTAATAAAATTCTATATATATATATATATTTACGTATATATCAGTCTATATGTACACGCATATGAAAAACGCGTGATTGTAATGATAAAAATAACAAATAATAATATGGGGGAAAGTGAGCAACTGTAGCATCTAAGGCAAACACGACATGTCAATTGTGTTTTTCTTTTTATTCGTGTTGTTAACCTCCCTCGGGTGTAATCACCGAGATAACTCTATGATACGGTGGTGTAGTGCCTCTGCCTGTTCATTCTGCCCGCGAAGCACTGAAAGCACATCAAATCCACCTGTTTGATGTGTATATGAAGCAGCAACATCTCGTCCTCGTTCTTGTTGCAGTGGTTGTGGTACTATTGTTGAAGATGATGGCAGTACTGTGTCACGTTCTAGGAGTGCTTGTACAAGCTTTCGCCGTACAGCATCCGCCTTTGAACGGTCTGCCCGTGCCTGTTTCTTCACATCCTTCAACTCCTGCCGCTGGGCGCGTAGACGACGTTCGGCAGCCTCTTCCACATCTCGCACACGCGCGTCTGCGGCATCTGCAAGTCGCCGCGCCTCCTGCAGTTCATCTTCGCAGAAACGCAGTTGCAAGCGTAGTCGCTCCGCCGCATCGTGTGCGGCCTCATGTTCACGCTGTGCTGATTGCAACTGCTCCACCTGACGGCGTGCTGCGGCTAACTGCGCCGTCTCGTGTTCGCGTTGTGCCATAATCCATGCGTGTTGCTGCGTATGTGTATCGAGTTTGGCGCGTAATTGTTCACCCGCCGCTGCCTCTCGTTGTGTCGCCTCTCGCTGCGCTTGTGCTTCCCGCTGAGCAGCCTGCAACTGTTGTAGTGTTGCCTGCAGCTGTGCGGCCTGCGCTTGTGCCTCTGTGCGTGCGTCTGTGAGTTGTGCCTGCAGAGCTGCGGCTGCGACCCGTTCTGCTGCCCGTACGGCTGCGACGCGTTCGTTTGCCTGCCGTTCTGCCTCTGCGAGTTGTGATCGCGCCTCCCGCAGTTCTGCCGAGATGCCGTCGATTTCTGTTGTGAGTGCCCGACTGCGACTAGTTGCCTCCGCGGCGGCCTTCGCGGCTGCGGCCCGCAGTTCCGCCACTTCCGCTGCGTGGGCCTCCGCCATTTGTGCGCGCTGCGACTCCGCGTCTCTTCGCTGCGATTCCGCCGCGGCGAGTTGAGCGGCCGCCTGCCGAGCCTCCAACGCGGCCCGCTCCCGCGCGACGGCGGCGTCGTTCTGCAGCTCCGACGATCGCCGGACGAGAGACCGCATTTGCGTCACTTCCGACTCCAGCGCCCGGCTGCGCTGCTCGAGCTCCACCAGCCGCGCCTGCTGCTCGCGGAGGGCGTTGTGGGCCACCAGCAGCTGCTGCCCGCCCCGCTCGCGCTCCTCCAGCAGCTGGCCGCTCAGCTCCGCACAGCGGGCCTCCAGCTCACACACCTGCCGCCGCAGCCGCTGGGTGAGCCCCGCGTCCTCACACACCCCCACGCGCTGCAGGAGGTCCTTGTTCTGCTCGCGCAGCTGCTCCAGCTCCTGCTCGTGCTCCAGCATCTTGTCGGCGACCGCACGGCGGGCATTCTCCAGTCGACCCTTTAAGTGCTCCACCGTCACATTAGAGGCGAGGTAACGCTCCTTGTACGTGTTGGCCTCCTCAAGGTCTTTCTTCAGCTCACGCATCGTCTCTTGTAGTTTCTCCTCATTCCCACGCAATGACTCTAGCTGCTTCCGTAGTCGCTCATTCGTTTCCTTCTCGCTATGAAGCTCTTGTACAACGACATTATATTTGCCATTCAGGCTGGCGAAGTTCTCCTGAAACTCCGCACAGGCAGCGAGAAGATCTGCATGAGATGTCATTCTCACCTAAACACAGCTCTAAATATAAAGACGTAAAACAAGAGAAAGGTGTTAAGTAAATAAGCAGATAGATTAGAAAAAAAAATGAAGGAAAAGGTAAAAAATTAAAAAAAAAAACTCATTAAACCGACTAGTACTCCAAATTCGACTATCCTCCAAGCTACGGAGAAGTAATAAGTAGCCACACAGAAGAGGCAGATATGCGGAGAATGTAAAAAATGCACGCGCATTCACATTATTTAACAAGAACACTGCGTCATTATTGGTTTCTCTCTCTCTCTTTCTCTCTACCCCCTTCTTTCTTTCTTTCTTTTTCTTCGAAGAGACCACCCGTACAGATAGATAGACACCGAAAAGAAAAAACAAAGGATACTCACCATGTCTGCGTAAAACGAGGCAAGAAAAAAAAAAAAAAAAACATGGTTTGTCTATTATTATCTTTTTTTTTTCTATGTTTTCTTTTTTTTTCTTTTCGTCTATCACTTTCTCTCCATCCCTCACTCATATATATTGTATGTGTGTTTGTGTAGAGTCTTCTGTTCCTTTTTCTGCTTCTGAGACTTTCACATGCATAGGTGTCTCCTTTGAATTGAAACAAAGACTCTCCACTTAGGATGCCGCCGCAATGGTTATCCGGGCCAGCATGGATGCAAGTTGTAGAGGTGTTCCAACACCTTCGGCAATTCGCATCGTCGTTTCACCAATGATCCGCAGTACAGCTAATTGCTGCTGCTCATTACGAAACAACTTTGGATTCTGTCCTACCCTAAAGAATGTAGAGATAACATCAGATGCTGCGTAACCTCGACCTAGCAACCTCTGCAGCTCCTTGTGTGCTTCCGCCAAGTTCTTGTTCTGCAGACAACTACTCATAATACTCTCTACAAGCAAAGGGTGTGGTTGATCACAGACTTTAAAGACATTCTCCGCATTCACTACACCGTAACCAGAACATGTCGCTTGTAGCGCATTTACAGCCGCACGAAGATCACCATCTGCTAAGTATAAAAGTGCTTCAAGTCCATCATCCGTGTATGTAACATTTTCTTGTTGAATAATAAACGTTAAACGCTTTAAAATGTCTGCATGAGAAAGTTTCTTAAAGCGGACTACAGCACATCTTGATTGAATAGGTTCAATAATTTTATGACTGTTATTGCAGGCAAAGGCAAATCGTGTAGTACTAGAGTGAAGCTCCATAGTACGACGTAAAGCCTGTTGGGCTGCTGGTGTCATACTGTCCGCCTCATCAAGAATAACAATCTTGTGAAGATTTATCTTCTGTTGGTTAGAATCGCTTACCTTCTGTGGAAGTGTCTTTTTAGTCTGTGCAAAGAGTTTAATTTTTTCTCTTACAACATCAAGACCACGGTCATCACTGGCGTTAAGTTCAAGTACCGCTTCTTTTAATGCCGCATTTCCACCTGTCTGATCACTTAGCAGACTTCGGGCAAGACAGAGCATGCTAGTGGTCTTACCTGTACCTGGTGGACCACAGAGAAGAAGATTTGGTAAATTCCCCTCACGAGCAATGACTTGCAGTCGCGCTACGGCGTCCACGTTGCCGACGATGTCTGATATCGACTGAGGACGGTACTTCTCCACCCATGGTACCACTTGTTGCTGTGGTCGTGACATTTCCGAGTGCAAACACAGAAAAACCGATGCGAAGAATAAGAAAAATAAAATAAATAAATAAAAACAATCACAATCACAATAACCACGACTTTTCTTTTGCCTTTCTTTTTTGTTGGGATTGTTGTTGTTATTATTATTTTTTTTCTTTCGTTTTCCTCTATTCGCTTAACTCTATTATTTTTTCTTCTTTCTTTCCTTTTTTACTGTGAGGGAAAATCCAGTAAGCAGTTGTGTCTGTAGAGATCGTTATCCTCCTTGTTTGGTCAACCTCTTTTCTTTTCCTTCCCGTATTATCGAGTCCTCTCTTACACTCTTTGTAGTGCTGCTCACCAACAATGTAGTAACCGCCAGCACTAAGAACATCATTTGAGAAATGTGGAATAGGCAAGTGAAGAGAAAAAAAAAAGGAAGAAAAAAGGTAATACCGTGCTGAGAGTAACAAACCAATAGGAAACACACACACAAACACAAACAGAAGAGAGACAGAAACAATAAACACAACATATATGTAAAAAAGATAAAACAGAACGAGGGGGGAATGGAAAAGAATAAGAAAAAAATAAATATATATATAGCACAGAGAATACCCCCTCCACACCCACCTGACTGTACTCTCTATACTTGTAAAAATAACGCTACTCTTGATCCAATAGCGGCACCAATAACAGAGCTCTCACCGCACGTTGGGGTCGGTACAATGCTGGCGTCTGCCACGTGCACACCGTCCACACCCCGCACCCGCAACGCACCGTCCACAACTTCTCCAATGGCACAAGTTCCAAAAAGATTACCGCTACTTTCTGCATACTCTCCAAGAAACGCGGCGGTGTCGAGTTTTGTCTGCAAACCGCGCGGTGGATGCCGCACATACACCCCGAGTGATGCGAAAGGTGATGTTGGGATGCCGTGAAGATCATGATGGTGCATGGACATCGCCGCCGTGCAGAGTGAACCGACCCAACGCACACCCTCATCCATACATTGCACATCGTGCTGATTGGAGAGCATACCACTTGTAATACGAAGGGAATTATGATTTTTGTTTTTCCCTTTTTTTTCTTTTTCTTTTTCAGATGCCGATATATCCATAACTTCTCCACGACTTTTTGGGTAGTGGTGTGCTATACGTACAGCAAAGCCATCAAATGGAATATAACCGCACCAACGCACATTAGGAGTTGGGAAAAAAGTTAAGGATAAATCAGGTGATTGTAATGTCGGAGTTGAGCGCACAAACGCTCCACCCTCTACAAATGATGCAAATATACCAGAACGTTCCTCTCCATATTCTTGCCACTGGCGCAGAAGATATTTAGCATTGCGCCCACTTATAGATTTGCTGTGAAGATTGGTATTTTGTTTGATGCCAAATACGATAGTTGCACAACAGGACTGAATGAGGTTTTTTCCAACATTGGGAAGTTCAGCAACTTTCCCCTCAGCCCCAACCCCACTGCGTTGTAGCAATGCTGGTGAATCTAAAGAACCTAAACAAATAACAACTCGGGGTGCAGAAAGAATTTCTACTTCACGTCCTTTATGAAGAATCTCAACGCCTCTAACTTGTTGACTATCAAAAACAAGTCGATGAGCTGTTACACCTGACATAATCGTTAAATTGGGAAATAAGTGTCTATCCACCTCTAAAAGTGCATCAAAGATATCAACGCGTACCCCTCTTTTGATATGTGACTGGAAAGCTGAAAATCCATCCGCCACTCCATGATTAAAGTCTACGGTCTCTGGTATTCCAAGTGCTTCACAGGCCTCAAACCATCGGATATTTAACTCCGAATTAATATTCGACCGTGGAGCGTCTGAAACGGCGAGGGGACCATTATCGCCGTGAAACTCTGAGCCACCACGTGAGTTCCGCTCTAGTTTCTTAAAGAAAGGTAATAATTTTTCAAAGGACCATGCGGGATCATTCCACGCCTCATAGTCTGCGGCGGTACCACGAAGATATCTCATATCATTACACCAACTGCTACCACCTAGTCCACATCCCCGCACATAAGTGAGTTGTCTACCACCTAAACTGCTTTCTGGGACCCCAGAGTATGTACGAATAAACTCTCGCGTGCTGCGCAGTGATGGAATCATGGGCGTTAACAACGGCACACGCATCGCTAAAGGCGGAGGCCGTCGAGTGCCCTTCTCAACAAGACACACCGACGCGTTTGGGTACTTTAGTGCTATGGAACGAGCAGCTGCGCAACCCGCTGTGCCTGCTCCAAGGATGAGAACATCAAAGATCCCCTTCGCCGACATCTGTGTACACCCTTTCAACCCCTTGCAGGGTCATCATTAGAGTGATAGAAAAAGAGAAAAAAAAAAAAGAAAGGGGAGTGAAAAGAAAGCAAAATAAAATAAATATAGCAGAGACTCTACTCAACCGCCACCTCATCTCCCTTCAGAAAGAATAAGCTTCTTCCATCGACTATTCTTTGATCATAACTTTCGTTATACTATTTGTTTTTTTGTTCTTTTTCGGATACTTCTCCTCATGTTTGTTTTTCTTTTTTTTTTTTTACTTTCCTTCCAATATATACTTCTCTCGTTATCTCCCTCTCCCACTTTTTCTTTTTTTCGTCCGCAATCAGTGTTTCCTCCATCATCTCATGTGGTTTCACTTTGTCGTAACCTCCGCCTGCTCCTCTTGAAGCCTTTCCTTTGAACGTTCAATATCTGCAGGAAGAATAGGAAGTGTCGATGAAGTGGCATAACTCTCACTTTCACGCAGTCCACGATGCACGTCGCAGAAGTGAGAGGCGAGTCGTTTTCGTGCCACCCGCACTTCTTCCATATCCACTTCTAATAACTTAATCTGCAGTTGTGTGCCACGCTCAAATCGCTTTACAAACTCTTCCGGCGGTGGCGGCATTCCCGGCTGCTGCGGGATTTCTTGTTTGCGGAGATCCTCCACCTGTTGGGCGGTGTAACGGTTCACATCATCAAGGCAATCTACACAATCTAACTTTGTTAATGCCTTCTTGTGGCTCTTCTGTGCAGTGACAACACCAATACCAAGTGCACGAATGGCCTGACGTGCTGCCACTGTGGCAACCACGCAAGTGAGAAGACTGACGGCAATACTACCAACAGGATGTCGCCGCATCCATGCCCATCGTCCTCTACCTATGGAGAGTCCTGCAAATCCACTGGCAACTCCCACACCAAGTGTGAAATTCATTGTCATGAAATCATATCGCCAACGTCCTCCCTCCTTCGCCCGCACAGCAGCAGAAAGATATGAGTAGCGAAGCATACCATGACTTGTTGCGATCCGCCCAGCGGCATTTTCATCAACAAGCACATAGCCACCATGCACATCAAGGGGTACAGACTTTCCAAAGTAGGTACTCATGTTAGGCACATTCCAGTAGACATATCGATTGGGGTTGAGGCCGGCAAGTCGCAGACATTGCTCGCCTAGTGTTCGGTAGCCAGGCGAGGCATCCTCGTGGTAAAGTGATATGTGTGTAGCAAGCTGGTGGAATTGTGCCTTACTAAGGAGGTATAGGCCATCCATTACTACTCTGCTGGCGTATACCCTTTTAGTAGTATTTTTTTTTTTTAAATACAGAGTTAATAACAAAGCAAAGGGGGGAAAAAAAAGAATACAAAAAAAATAATAAAATATTATATACATATATTACAAAGAAAAGGAAAGAAAGAAAGAGGAGAGAGAGAGAGAAAAAAAAAGCACGTCTGTGAGGTCACGTGGATGTGTAAAGATATACGTGAATCCGTGTGGATATAGAGATGATAAGAGCCTCTCAAAGGTGACAAGAGACGAAAATAAAAAGAATCAACGACAGCAACAACAATAACAACAACAACAAGGCCACACCATGTCTCCTCCATTTCATAGGAGATATATATATATATATATGGGAACTATTTTTTTGATTTCTCTTGAGATACTTCTGTATCCAGAAATGCCTTGTGTGCATCCAAAAGAATTTGAATGTCCTCTATTAAGCCACAAACACGAGAAGCGCTTGAGGCCCCAACAAAAAGCATGGCCAATAGTACAATACCAGAAATTGTTGGTTGTGCAACAGCTCCCAACACCGCTCGTATCACCGAAACAAACAATATATTTTGTGGAAGATCACTTGTCGCCTGCAGAAGTAATACAGCACAGGAGGATAAAAGGATTGAGAGCAGCAGCGCCATCACTAGAGCACCTACCGCTAGTCTAAAGAATCCACCACGCACAATAATGGCTGCACCTGCAAATGTAATGAGTGCTACAACTAGCAGAACGAAGGACGATAGTAAAACATCCAGCATTTTTCTCTAAAGATTAATATATTTCTAACCACAAAGCACTAAGAGTGGTATTTAAAAATAAAAAGAGAATAGATCATTTTTTTTAAATTATGGAGAGAAAAAAGGGGTCAAAACGATAAACGAAAAAAATAAATCAGATATACACTTGTGTATGTATGTGAATTTGCACATAATTGTTAATATCACAGTGAATGAGACACTTACATGTCCCAAACACGTGCCTTCTCTTTATCTCTCTCTCTCCCTCTTGACAATTCATATTTTTTTTTAACTTATGTCAACATTTTCAGCCGTTATTTTTTCACTTTGCTTTTTTTTTCTCTCTTTTTTTTTTCTTTTTATTTATTCCTATCATTTACTTCCTGATGAATAATAAAAAAAATTGCTTAACTTAATCTCTTTCTTTTTCATTGATATCACCCAACACACTTTACTACACAGAAACAGGAGGGAAGGGGCGTTACATCCTTCACAACATGACCGTAATATGAAAGAGGGAGTGAGTGAGTGAATGTAGAGAATCGCCTTCTTGCCCCACCCCACTCTGCTTCTGTGAAATAAAATCATGAAAAACAAAAACAAGAAAAAAAAAGAGAACAATATCAACCACAAACAACAACGAAACAAAAAAAGATGAACCCAAAAAAAAAACATTTATCGTCCCATGTACAGACGCAAATGTAGATATGTCCTCATCTCTTTAGTAGCGGTAGTGTTCTGCCTTGAATGGGCCGTCAACAGGGCAGTTGATGTATTCTGCCTGTTTTGCCGTGAGCTTTGTGAGCTTCGCGCCGAGTTTGCTGAGGTGGAGGGCGGCGACCTTCTCGTCCAGTTTCTTTGGCAGGAAGTACACCTGCGCCTTCTCTCCACGCGGGTACTTTCCGCTGTCGCGCTGTGTCCAGAGTTCAATCTGCGCAAGCACCTGATTGCAGAAGGAGTTGGACATCACGAAGGATGGGTGTCCACTGGCGCAGCCGAGATTGACAAGACGGCCCTCCGCGAGAAGAATGATGTGGCGGCCATTGTGCATGGTGTAGCGATCCACTTGTGGTTTGATCTCCACACACTCCTTGGCGTTTGCCTTCAGCCACGAGACTTGAATCTCCGTGTCGAAGTGGCCAATGTTGCACACAATAGCATCATCCCGCATGCGGGGGAAGTGCTCAGATGTGATGATATCATCATTGCCAGTGGTCGTGACGAAGATGTGGGCATCCGCCACAACATCCTCCACGAGCACCACTTGATATCCCTCCATCGCGGCCTGCAGGGCGTTGATGGGATCCACCTCCGTGACCACAACGCGGGCACCAAAGGCACGCAGGGCAGCGGAACAGCCTTTACCCACATCACCATAGCCGCACACACAGGCCGTCTTGCCAGCAATCATCACATCAGTGGCGCGTTTAATACCGTCCACAAGAGACTCGCGGCAGCCGTAGAGGTTGTCGAACTTGCTCTTCGTCACACTGTCGTTCACGTTAATAGCGGGAATGGGAAGTTTACCGCGCTGAAGACGCTTGTACAGATTCTTCACACCTGTTGTCGTCTCCTCAGAGATACCGTAGATCTTGTTAACGAGCTCTGGACGCTGGTCAATGATGTAGTTTGTCAAATCACCACCGTCATCGAGAATCATATTGGGGCATCCATCACCACTGAAACCCTTCACTGTCTGCTCAATACACCACTGGTACTCCTCATCGGTCTCACCCTTCCATGCAAACACGGGAATTCCCCTCTTTGCAATAGCGGCAGCAGCATTATCTTGTGTGGAGAAGATATTGCATGAGCTCCAACGCACCTCTGCGCCGAGCTCCACGAGTGTCTCAATGAGCACCGCCGTCTGCACAGTCATATGCAGACAACCAGCAATCTTGGCGCCCTTCAGGGGCTTTGTGGGTCCATACTCACGGCGGAGTTCCATGAGACCTGGCATCTCATTCTCTGCAATATCAATGGCCTTGCGTCCCCATTCAGCAAGGCTGATGTCGCGTACCTTGTAGTCAGTCATAGTTTAATTGAACTGTGTTTTTTTTTTCTCTCTTGTTTTCTTTTTTCACGAGGTATAAGCAGATAATAAAAGTAAAAGAAAAGAAACAAATACAATTTACAATAACTAGTAGATTGTTGCATCAATCAATGATAAGAAATAATAATAGAAAAAAAAACCATAAAGAAAAAAAAAAAATAGAGGGAATTAACGTGAAAGACTCAAACACTCACATTTTATACGTTCATAGACAAGAATAAAATGCATGTACCAATTTATATATAGACATAAGAATTGGAAACACATGCATAAACTCAAATACAGAAGAAGAGGCAGGCGCATATGTGTGTTATTTTTCTTTGAAACGCACGTATTCTGCTTCTGCATCTGATCCTGCAAACTCATCCTGCATTCCACTCCTCAACATTTCTGCGTAATCGACTACAAGATTCACACAGTTCATAAACGAATCTTCTGGTTGTGCCCGAAATGACAATGCATCATGTGATACTGAAGAAAGACGAAGAACAAAAGAAACATTTTGTGTGATGTGAAGAGAACTGGATGTCTTCTTCTCTTCATCATTATCATTATTACAATCACCATCACTCATTTCGCAAGCTGTTTGAATGAAATCATTCGGTGCTGTACGCTCAACAAGGCCAAAGAGTTTCTGATCCCCAAACCACACTTCCACATAAGGACCATTATTATTCTTGAAGATTGGCTCCTTACTCGCCTCTATAAACTCACTAGCAATACGATGGGCCTCATCGTCCTCAGCCACGATGCCAAGGGCGGCAAACATGTTTTTCTTTTCTTTTTTTTTTGCCTCTATAGCCAACCCTTATAGGTATATCTTTTGTTGTTTCCGCCTCGTGGGAAAAAAAAGGAATTACAAGAAAACAAAAAAAAAGAAAAAAAAGAATAAGAATGAGGATGAAGTAATACCATTATTAATATTATTTTTTGATAGCGGTGGTCAAAGGAAGAAGGTCAGTAAAAATACAAGAAAAAAAGAATTAAAAATAAAATAAAACAGTGAAAATATAACACTCAACAATAATGTGCATTAAAAAAAAAAAAAAGAACCACTGGTCTGCGCTGATGGTAATCACCGTAACATATATATATATATACCAAATAACAGCTGCAAAAGTCACCAAGCAACTAAGAAGAAATAATAAAAATAAAGCACAATTTTAAAAAAAAAATACAAATACAAAATAACGCTATGCATATCGACCCTCCAACCATTCCTCTGTTGGTTTGCTAAGCTCTTCTTTTTCCTCTGGCGTTAGAAAATCCTCCTCTGACCCACGTTCTTCTGAGGGTATAAGTTGCTCTAGCATTCCTACATTCCACCGCACATACGCCACGTGCTCAAGAAAGTAAACCCATTCCGCCGCCCATCGCATCCAATCAAGTGTGATACCGTGATCTTGCATAACATCATACAACTCATTTTGCATATCAAGTTCAAGATGCCAGAGACAAGGACCATCATAATAAAGATTATGTCGTACCCATATCGCATCATCTGTTGTGGATAATAAATAATCATTAGAATCTCCCTTGTAAGCACGAACGTTACGCATATGCATACCACCTTCGTTAGCTGCCATTGAAAAATGCACAATAACACCATTTCGTTCCACCATCACCTCTACTGGAAACCAATCTACAAAGTACAACAAGTCATTAATCTTTGGCGGGTTCGCCATCTCAATTGGACTATACGCTACTACTCGGCCAATACGCATCTTCTCATCCGCTGCTCGCGTAAAGACGGCAATGTTGCCAGCTTCATCGTGCCGCACGGACCATCCATCTATTGGCGGTGGTGGCTTTGTGGTCGCTTCCCGCCGCATCTCATCTGCGAGATCTTTGTAGAGTGGGCGGAAGAGTTTGTAGGCGCCTGGGCCGTACTTCTCCTCCATTGATCGCGCCCACACGGTGGCCTCATCCTCCTCCACCTCCACACCCGTCGAGAGTGTGCGGTGTGCTAAACCCGCAAACAGAGATGCGGCTGTCGTCTTGAGCAGCGCATGATGTTGTTGTTGTTGTTGCCGCACCAGGAATGCAGCTCCTCTCCGCCACATTACACAAAACCTCTGGAAAGGTAAAAAGAAAAAAAGAAATCAATTAGTTAATCAATAATAATAATAATTAAAGGTATATTATGTTATACACCATTCTCAAACATATAAAAAATACAGCCACACACACACACACAGAAAGATATATAGATTTCATAATCATGTAAAAAAAAAACTTTAGTGTCGCTTATAAAACTTAAGCCTCTCTGCAGGGTCAATTTCAGATGGATTCTGGTGTCCAAATGGGTTTTGCACCAGGAGACATATCATAATTCTCATCAAAGCGGTGGAGTTTCACGAGACCGTCAAAAGCTCCACTAGCAAACCCACGACCATCAGGGAAGAATGCCACAGAGTTAATGGTACCAAAATGGCAACGTACCTGACCGAGTTGCTTCTCATGCACCTTGTGATAGAACTTCACTTCAAAGGTTGTCTGACCACCCTGTGTTGTCACATCTTGGGCATCCATACCTCCTCCTAGAATGATATGATCACCGCATGGTGAAATAGAAGCATCGTTCACTGGCACATCACTTGTGTATGTCTGAATGAGCGACATGTCACGGGAATCTAGCAGACGGGCTGTCTTGTCCTTAGAGGCTGTAATAAGAGTGTAGTAATTGGGGTCAAAACTGATGCGGTTGATCGTATCCTCATGGGGCTGCTGCGTACGAACTGTGCGCATAGTTTCCACATCAAGAATGGCCACAGATCCGTCTGACATGGAGTAGTAAATCGTGTCATTTGTCGGTCCCCAAACAGCAAAAGTGATATCGTCACATTCTGAAATAAACTCTGCACATGGGTTAAAACTTGTTTTAACAGGCTTTACCAAGTAATCATCCTTTGGAACGGCAAAGGGTAAGTTGTAAAGCTGCACTGCCGCCTTCTCACCCATTTTTCGTGAAGTACTGACCAAGAATTTACTGTCATCATGCGCAAAAGCCACAGACTTGGCAGGACTCTTAAGCATAATATTCGCCAGTTCCTCTCCACTTTCCACACACCAAAGTTTGGCCTTAAAGTCCATACCACCCGTTACAAGAAGTGTGGAGTAATTGTTCACATCACATGCAGAGATAGCACTGTGACCATTGTACACACCAAGACGTTCGCCTGTCTTTGTATACCATACACTCACATTGGGTTCTTTTGCCGTGGAAAAGAGCAAGTCACCCTCGCGGTTAAACTTGATCATAGTCACGGGCTTCATGTGCCCGTGAAGAGCTACGCCTTGGATGTTCATCTTTCTTTCACTCGGTTATCGATTTTTCTTCTCTTCTTTTACTTTGTTGTTTTTGTTTGTTTGTTTGTTTTTCTTTCTTTTTCTCCTGCGTATTCCTTTCTCCTTTTTCTCGTTATTTCGTTTACTTAGTGGTTTCTTGCGTGGTTTGCCTGCTCCCACCTCTGTAGTAGAAAGAACACAAGGGTAAAGAAAAAAAAAAAAAAAAACACCATGATGAACAGAGAAACAATTATAAAAATAAAAAATAATTTTACTATTTTCTTTTTTTTCCCCAAACCCTCCTTTTTTTTTCTTTGCTTCATGTAGGAAATAGGAAAAGTACAAGGACTCCATATATATATATATATAGAGAGAGAGAGAGAGAGAGAGAAAGAGAGAGTACAACCATATCATCTGGAGTACTCTTCAATCACCACCACCACTACTACTACTACTTACGTTTCGTAGTATAAAAAAAGATGTGTTTTACCAGCCGAGACCATTCAGACGGTCCTTTACTTCCCGCAGGTAATCCTGCACGGGTTTACTGGAACCGGCTTCAGTAGATGAAGAAGAAACTTTTCCAGTTGCAGCACTCCCTTTCGCCGTTGGCCGATCCATCTGATCGTGAATGCGCTTCATTCCGGTATAAATCAACTGTGCAAGTTGCTCAGTAATGGCACCCTCAGGATCTCGTAATTTCTGCTGCTCTGCAGAAAGTCCCTCACGCAGTTCACCGCGAAGTCGTTCCTGTTCTCGCCGCTGCTCTGCAAGCACTTCGTGAATACGCTGAGCCAAATCTTCTTTAAGATAGTTCAACTGTTCACGTGTAGCCTGATAATTACGCTCCACCATCTCCGTCACTGCGTTTTCGTGGGACTCCACTCGCACAACAAGGGATTCAAGAAATTTCTCTTCCTTCTCTCTCCACTCTGCCAGTTCAAACTCTCCCGTGCCGAGGGGCTCGGCCATCATCTTCTCAAAATTACCACTCCCATTAATACTAATAGAAGGACTCGCCACACGATCCGCGCCAACTTCGCTAGACATTGCTACTGATGTGTCCACTGCAGCGGTGTCTCGATTTCCCCACGTAGTAGACAATGGAGGAGGTGGCGATGATGATGTACCTTGTCGTTGTTGTTGTTGATCTTGTTGTTGCTGTGAAGAAGAAGAAGGTGGTGGTTGTGTAACGCCAAGGGAAGCGAGTGGTAACGGGACGAAGAGCGGAACACCGCACCACTGTTGTCCATTAACTGGTGAACAAAAGATTTGAGGGAAAAAAGGCATCCCACCTTGTAATTGTTGCAAATGTAGCTCTTGTTGCTGTTGTGGTAGTGGTTGTTGTTGTGGTAGTGGTTGCTGCTGATAATGGTTATGATGATATTGATGTGGTTGTTTTTGTTGTTGTGGTTGATTATAAAATGGAGGACGTTCAAGAGAGCCTTGACCCTCATTGCGGCTACTCTGGTGATCCAAGGTCTCTGGAGAAACACTAAAATTACTACGGTGTGCTGAACCACTCTCTCTCCCTGGTGAGGGTTGATTATCCGAATGACCCAATGGGAGAAAACTAACTTCCATGTGATCACTGTTAATCTCTAATGCACCGGCAGGACTTGCCCTAAACGACTTGGAGTTCCCACCTTCTTCAGCTTGTGGTACACTTTGAGATGCTTCTGGGGATACAGTTACTTGTTTTGTTGTTCCTGTTGCCGCAACTATGCTTGATGAAGATCCAGTCTTGCTTTGAAGTGGCAGTTTTCGTCGTCTTTGTGGTACTACCTTGGCAGTTTTAAATTCACCAGCTCTACCACTACCAGCATTAGTCGCAGTTGAAACTGTAATAGTAGTGAGATGGGTAGATGCACCAGCAGTAGTATTCGTGTTATCAGGTCGTTGTCCTTTAATGCGAGTAAATAGGAGTTGTTGTTCACACGTTTGCAGACATGTGAATCCTTCACCAACTGCATATGCCACATGAGAGTCTATTAAATTCTTTGATAAATCAAACGTCTCAACAGCACTACCCTGCAGCGCTCCATCCTGCAAGAACTCTGTTAGTCCTGCTGTTGTCACTACATTACGACTCATATCCACTACACGAAGTGAAACATCGTGGGTAATAGCAAGTGCAATCCGCTTAAGTGTCGCATCGCCCAAACGATTACCAGAGAGATCCAGTGCTTCCAACGCTCTGGACGAGGCATTCACACCAACACTTCCAACACCCGTATTACCGCCATCTCGCAGAGAGGCACGCCACACGGCACTCTGCTCTCTGCTGCGACTAAGTAAAATAAGTGAATGAATACCACGGGCACTACGGTCTGTGAGATCACATTCAGAGAATTGCGCCTCCTTCAATGCGCGGAAGGAACACGGCACTGTTGTCAGTCGCGTGAAAAGAGCATCGTTCAGCGAAGAACGGTTAAGTTTCAACACCCGCAGTACATCACAATGCGGCAACTGTTCAAACAGTCGTCCAGTGGTCTCCGGCATCTCCCGCAGCGGCAACCCACATAACTCTACACGAACTAAACACCGCACACTCGCCGCACACGCCGCACGCACACCGTCCAGCAAACTACGCAATACCGCACGATTCTGCGGAGAAACAATAATGTCTTCCGGTCGACGACGCGCCAACAATACCTCGTACGACATCATTCGCCTCGACTGTTTCGGTGGGTGGTGTCCGCCCTTGTTCACACCATAACGTAACACTAATGCCTGCAGTTGAGCACCACGCACACCACCGGTGTGTTGCTGCGCACTTCGCTGCAGGGCAAGAGCAAAGAGACGCACAGCCGCCACTGGTGCGAAATCCAAATCCGTCACAACTTCTCCTGCACCGGCGTGTTCGATAAAGCCGTAGTAAGGCTCAACCCGTCGCTGTGAACAGAGCGCCAAGTATTCGTGAACAACTGTAAGCATGACACCCAACACCACTACTTTATTTTCTAACTAAAAAATCTATATTACTTATGTGTTTGAACGTCTGTAAAAAAAAAAAACACCTGCTTATTTTTCTCTATTGCACGGAGCTTTTGCCTGTGCTGAACATATATGAAAGAAAGTGAAAGAAACAAACGAGTGGGTGAGCAAGTGAAGGAGTGAGTGGGCAAGAAACACACAAAACAGCATCATCATCATCAAAGAAGGGAAACCACCAATGGGAGGGTAGGATGGGGGAGAGCACTATCGATCTCGTGGCCTTTCCATCACGCGCAAAGATGAGGTTCTTTACCCATGTTCCTTTGTGGGCCACTTCAGCAGTGAAGTACATCTCGCGAGCCTTTAACATCACGATGGACGATGGCAAATGACTGTCCCCGTGTCCGATGGCGCCGTTACTTCCTTTACTATTTAATGAGAGAGTTATGTATCGTATCTATTTTGTTTTCCATGTTCTAACATGTGTCGGTCCTTAATGTTGAGAGACTGTGTGTGTGAAAAACAAAGTGGAACAGAGTGAATGTTATGGCGTTCAAGAGAGTGATTATACTTTAAAAAGTTTAAATAACATACATTAGGGCAAATGATAACGTTCCGTAACAATTTACTGTGTAGAGTTTGTGTGCAGTAGGTATTGTTATGACTAACAAGATCAAGAAGGGTGCGCAATGGCCAAGTAAATACGAAGAAAAACACAACAAACATACGAAATCGTGTACTCGTAACAGATATCAGAATTTAATTGTGTACTATTGTTTACACATACGCAGAATTTCTTTTCCTTTTTTTTTCTTTTCTACTTTTTTCTTGAGGGCCCTGAAATTCTGGTCCTCATGTTTCTTTTTTTCTCTTTCTTTACAACATCTCTTTCCTTGAGTCATTTCACTTGTATATCTCTCCCTCTCTTTCACTTCTTTCTCATTCAACTACGAATATATTACTGTCCCCACCATACCACATATCCCGTTTTCTTCCCTACATTTTTTTTGCTTATTTATACAGCAATGTTGCACATGGAGGAGTGCACTTCCCAGGGAATTATAAATATAGCAAAGATTCGCAGAGAGGAGTTTAAGAGAAGAGCTTGTGGGTTATGAAGTTTATGCGAAAGAGAGAGAGAGAGAGAGAGAGAGAGAGAGAAAGAAGGAAAGAAAAGAAAGAAAGATAAGAAAAAGAAAACGGAATTATGAAGATTCCGTGAATTTATGATTGAAGTTCAGCCTCGAGTGCCCGCAGAGCCTCTTCATCATCGTCCACTTCTTCCTCCTTCTCTTTCTCTTTCTTCTGAGGTAAAGCGTTAGTTGGTACGGTCGGCATGCTGGGCAGTGCGACAGTCTCATGCACTTCTGTTTCCTCCAATTCTGCCATAAGTTCACCCATGAGATCATCCTCATCAAGCACTTGGTTGTCGAGTGGTTGCCGAAGTGCCTCTGCGACTGCGTTGGCTTTATCCATTTCTTCCAGTAGTTCTTCCATATTCTCCTCTACACGATCGGCGTTCATTCTCTTATTGCTCTGTTTGAGCTCCTCCTTAGCGCGTTGTTGTGCTTCCAACACCTCATTGTTCATATTCTGATTCTGTAGAGTGAACTTCAGCGTTTCGAGATTCTGCTTCTGTGCGCCAATGTTCATCAGCTGTTCTTCATACAACTTTTTACGCTTCATGCACTGCAGTGCCGCCTGTGTATTCTTCTTTGCGTGGTACTGCTTTGCCCGCTCGAGCTCTGCCTCCATCTTCTTCTCCAACACGGCCTCCCGCTTCTCCAGCAACTCAACGGCGGAGTCCAGTTTCTCTAGACTGTGCGAAACAGAACCGGCGCCGCCGGGCCGCCCACTCTCGCGCGGCTTCGCCTGTTTATCGCCCCTCCCAAAGAGGCGGCTAAACATGTGCGTCGTCGGTGTTTATGTACGTATGTATATAATATGGGATGGAAGGTAGATGATAGAAGGAGAAAAAGAGAAAGAGGGAGAGGCAGATAGATGGCGCGTGTATAATAAATATATAACTATTTATATATTTATCTTTGTGTATTGCTATCGATGTGGAGTGTGATTTCCGTTCCCTTCCTTTCTCCGGGGAGGTATGCAAAAGAAAAAAAAGAAAAAAAAAGAGAAAAATACAAGGGGGATAGGAAAGAAAGAAAGAAAGAAAGAAAGAAAAGAACAACACTTGTTAACAATATTGATGTAGCAATAATAATAATAATAACAACAAAACTATTAGAAGCAAGAGAGAAAAGATTCACAAGAAGTGTGCACTCATAGCACCAAACTTTACTCCTTTTTTTTTTTTCTTGATTGCACTCCTCTCTTACTTTCCCTTTTTTCGTTAATTACTTCCTTCACTACCTTATTTTATGCCGTTCCAATGCCACAAAACAAGGAACGCAATGTAAAACGCGAACAAACATAATAATAATAAAAAAAACAGAATAATAAAAATAAAAATGTGCGTACAATGGCCCCCCTCCTCTCCTCTCTCACGCAGCGAGCTGTGCTGAAAACTCCGCCTCCACACTCGCCCACTCCCGCGGCAGCAGCGGATGGCACAATGCCACCACCACCTCCGTCACCTTCGACTCGGGAATACGCACCTGCCGGGCAGAGTCGCGCTCCCGCAGCGTAACACAGCCATCACCCTCCAAATCACACGTAATGCAGAAGGGAATGCCGAGTTCATCCACGCGAGCGTACTTCTTTCCAATGGACGCACCGCTATCATCCGTGCGGGTTGAGACTCCACTCAGGAGTAACTGTGAACGAATTGTCTCTGCTGTGCGCATTAACTCGGGCTTCATGAGGAGTGGGAATACTGCCACCTTCTGTGGGGCAATTAATGGTCGTAGACTGAATACCGCACGTTTTTCGTTTTTAGCGCTATCATCACGGCGAACCCAGTAGCTCTGCTCTAGCAATGCGTACAGGATACGCCCAACACCAAAGGAAGGTTCAATAACACTCGGAACATAATTGCGACCTGTTACCTTTACGTCCTTGTAATCAAACTGTACCATTGCTGATGTAATTTTCGCTTCAAAACCACTTGATGTTGTGATCGTTGCTTCACCTGATTCTGTTAGTTTTCCATTAAGTTCAACACAAGCTGTTTCTGGAGCCGTGTTTAAGTACTCCATCACTTCACCAGCATTCTTTCCAAATGCTTTACCAATAGCTCCCTTTTGCAGTTTACGCTGCAATTGACGTTCAATGCGTGGTTCCGCAAACTCTTCACGTGTACCAAGTTCCTTTTTAGAAGCGTTACTGTGTTGTGTGAGATCGTATGCAGATCGATCAGCGATGCCAACGCACTCCACCCATCCGTATGATGTAAGTAATTCTGCATCCCAGCAATCCTGGGCATAGTGTGCCATCTCATCCCGCTGATGTTGGCGGAAACGAACATAACGCACTCCGACGGCATCAAGGAAAAGTGCTGTACGAGCCATAAAGTAACCGAGAGTTTCATTATCAACAATCTTTTTCTCAACAGCCTCACCAATCGTTAGACGAACAGGTTCAGCATTCGCTTCTTGCAGTTCACGAGACCATGCCCAGAATTCCACATCTTTAACCTTGTCAAATTTTTCGTGATTCTTTTCATTCGGATTAACAAAGTGTTCAATTTCTGCCAAAGTAAATTCTCGAACACGAATAAGACTTGCACGAGGTGCGATTTCATTTCGAAAGGCAGTTCCAATACAAGCACCAGCAAAAGGCATACGTTGTGCGTTACCAGAGTCTAGCAAACGCTTAAAATTCAAAATAATACCCTGTGCAAGTTCTGGTCGCATATACCCCACACGGTCTCCCTCAGGACCTATATTCGTAGAAAACATCAGATTAAATGGAAATGGGTCACTGAATGGATTTCCCTTTGGTGACTTCAGTTGATAACGTTCTATTGTTGCCTTTATTTCATCTGGTGTCATACCTGCAGCTCTGTGAAGAAGTGTCTGCATCTCCTGCACCATTGTTGCTGAAAGTGTTTTGTCCTGCAGTTGTTTCTCGCCATATTCCTCGAGGAACTTATCTGCACGAATACACTCACCTGTTACGGTATCCCGCACCATCACATCATTAAAGCGTACAACGTGACCAGAGGCTTTAAACACCTCTGCTGGTGTTAAACACGTTGTGTCCACTTCGCACATACTCTCCTCTAGCACAAAGTGCTGGCGCCAGTATGTAAGCAGATTGGCCTTCATCGCACAGAGTGGTGGGCCCATATCGTACAAACCCGCTGAGCCGCCGTAGGGATCGAAGGCGAGGCCAAAGAAGAAACGGCGGCGGCAGGTGTCCTCGAACTCACCCCGCACAAGCTGCTCAAGCTTTGAGGGAAGTGCCGTGGTCATTGCTCGTCTGGATATGAACTTCGTTCTGGCTGAAACACTAGTAGTAGCAGCTTACTCCAGTTGTAAAAAAAAGAAAGAGAAAAAAGAAAAGAGTTTTTTTTTTTTTTTTAATATATATTATTATTATTATTATTATTATTATTATTCATTCGCTCCTTATTACGTCATGCGTAATTGTGAGGTGTCAGAAGTAATCAGAATATCAAAACAGCAAGAAGAAAAAAAAAAAAAGATGGATACGACGGAATATAACAACAATGGAGATCTGAATGTGATACCAAAAACTTTAAGCATAATCAAAAGAAATACCTCTATCACCAATAAAAAGAAGAAATTTGTAGAATTTTAAGGTGCTTATCCCCAAGGTCCCACTCATTTTATTTTTTTTTTTTATTTTTTTTCAGATTCTTTTTTTTTTATACAATCAGAATTGAAATTGGATCGTATACAGAGACCTAACACACACTCACACACATATGCATATGTATATATATATATATATACTTATAACATAAGTACCCAAGCGCCATCGGGGTAAAAAGCAAGCAGTGGAGCCTGATCCCCCATAACATACCGCAGTGGGTGCTGTGTAAAGTCAACCATTGAGTTATTCACATTTTTTAGTGATGCATTAATCGATCCACTATCCAATAATAACGCTGAACGCTGATCTGGTCCACGTCGTACTCTACAAAGTGAAAGGACGCACTCTGTCTCCATCGTCCCATCTTGTTTCTTGCAGAGTCTCGTGCATTCTCCTGATGCATCGGCTACAAAAAATGAGTCTCCATCATTTTCAGGAATAATAGTATTAGTAGTAGAATTAGTATTAGTAGTGTTAGTACTAGAATCAGTTGTGTGTACACGGTTAATAAGCAAAGGTGGTGAAGGTAATATGCCAATCGGTTCTCTGTCATTAATGCCAACAAGCGTACCATTCGCCAGACCTGCTGTTACAATCCGATGATGGAGTTGCAGAGAGCATACAACGTCGTCCAATGTCACTAACAACTTTGTGCTAAACTCCGGTCCCTGATAACATGCCACACTTGCCCCATGTGCAACCACCAGTATAGTACGACTACTGCGTGTACTACTAATGGCAATGGGTGGGGCTTTAAGAAAAGATGGAAAGGGTGCCACACCTCTTGCCTCAATATAGTGTACCACCTGCATTGTCACTCTGCCAGAGCGTGTATCACCTGTGGGTTGCAGTACTACAACAGAAGTACAACGACCAACAGCAAAGAGAAATGTCTCGGCAACAGAATTACCGTTGGAGCTCCATCGCACCTCAACAAATTCAAGTTCCCGTTTCAGTAAGGTTGCGCCACACACCTCTGCAGCGACGGTAGGAGTACCACTCCAATCTGTATTAGCAACATCTGCCGTAGCAGCAGCAGCAGTAACAGTACGTGGCAAAACAGAAGAAACCAAGTATCGCCCTCGAATAAAAGTACAGAATCCTAATGTATTATTTTCTGTACGGTGTAATGGAATAGGCAACCAATCCATGGAAACTACTGTATGTTTTCCTACATGCACGCTGTACATGCGTTTCGGCAAGACATCGCCTTTGTATAAAGAATTCCGGGAAACAAAAGGATCTTTCGAGGAAGAAGAAGAAGAAGTAGTAATAACCTCCTTTGATTCTGAGGAAAGAGGTAGATACCATATATCGAGACGTGTAAAGTAATCCTCTTCACATAGGACAGAAAACCAAAGACCAATCTCAGGCATTGTCGGTATGATGCGTACACAAATAACACTACTACAGGATGTGAGACCCACAAATCCTCTTGCCATTTGGCGGCATGTATTTGGACTGAGAGTAAATTCCTTAATATCATTAGGGTCAAAAACACAAAGTGGTTCACGAATTATTGAAGATGGACGTTCTGCTATGCATTTTGTTCCAGGTTGAATATGATGAAAGAAACGTGCCACTGCACCACTAGCCATACGTTCCCACTTTAACTGTTGTGCCTGAATCTCTTCAACTGTTACACAGTTCCCTGGAATACCTTCATTCTTTACATCATTCCCTTTTTTTCTCGATTCTAATGCTGCAGCTACTAAGGATGGATCTTGCGGTACAGGTGATGCGGTTACTGGTGTTCTGCTTAATGAAGTTACGGGTGTTGTTGTTGTCGTTGTCGTTGTCGTTGTTGTTAACACTGGAACTTCTAGTACTTTTTCTATAGTTTCTGATACCATTACTGCTGCTGGTGCTGCAGAAGTTGCTGGTGTTGCTCCTGGTGGTGTTACAGCATTACTTCCGTTATCTACCGCCGCGCTATCATCCAATCTTGGTCTCTTTATACCTAATACCCTCATCTCCTCATCTTCTTCTGTTTCTGCTCCTACTTCTACAACCCCTCTTCTTCTTGTTGTTGTTGTTGTTGTGGTGGTGGTGACGATGTGCCCTTCTTCTTCCTGTTTCTTTTCTTCTTCATTTTCATCTTCTTCTTGTTTGGTGCTGTTTGATCGACTGCATGTATTCCGTCGCCTTCCCACCTTTGGTGGCCGCCCGCGCGGTGCCCTTCGCTTTCCCGCCCTCCCCCCACTCCCCGCTGGCGGGGCGACCACGTCGACGGACTTTGCGAACCGCCGCGCGAGCACCTCCGGCCGGCGCTCCGCCTCCACCTCGTCCACGTCGACCTCGTGCCGCGGCGGCAGCGGGGCGGGCCCGACAAAACACAGCGGGTGCCGCGCGAAGTTCAGCCGCCGCCGCCGGTCGGCGCACACCACCGCCCCCGCCGCACTGCGGGCCGCCGCCAGCCGGCAGATGTTGCACACATCCACGCCGCCGTCGAACTCGCTGTGGAAGACGGCGAAGGTGATGATGCGGTCGCAGCCGTCGCACTGCACGTACTTCACATCCGCCCCAAGCGTGGGCCGACGCCCGGGGTAGTGGGCGTTGAGCGCCTCGTACTGTTCAAATATAGCGTGACCCGCCATCCCCAACCCACCGCTTGCCAACACGTCCACACACTTCACATGGATTTATAATATATGTATAATATGCATATATGTATGCAAAGCACAATAGAAGAAATAAAAAAAAAAAGGGAGGCAATATAAAGAGAAGGAAAAAAAAAAGAAAATGAAATTTAAAAAATAATAATAAACTGCAATCTACAGAATGGCGCCGGCATGAGAAAAAAAATATATAAACGAGTCATTACATTCTCTAGTCGCATGCAAAAGGATGGTGATAAGAATTGGGATTGAAAAGAAAAGAAAAACAAAAAAGAAACGCATAAAATAAAATAAAAAATCGATACATAAAAACATACGTACATGCATCCGATCGTGTGCATACGCATGTATAAATGTGTATAGATAAATATAAAAATAAATAAATAAATGTACTTGCACTCATACTTCGCCCCCTTTTTTTTTTTTTTT